TAATTCTTTTATTACAAATTAAAATGTTGCCTAAAAAGGCATTTTAAACCCGAAAATTAACACAAAACTAACATCGCACTGCCGACTGCCAACACACTTTCTTTCACTGTTTGGTTATCTTTTTCATGCATGAATGACGATCACTCACTGACGACAACGACAACAACTACCAAAGAGTAAGGAGACACCCAACGTAATAAAGTAAGGATATAACTCAATATACACAGTATCACCTTTGATCACTGAATATAAATCTCTCAAGGAATAAAATTATAGAATTTTCTCTGGAGATATAGGTATGACCGATGGGAACATTATTCTTCAATAATATTTTATCTATTTTTATATGAAAGAATGGCCAGGTTCAATCACCCTAGCCCTAGGTAGAATGTGTAGAGATATAAAGTCAATGGTATTTATTTTATTTTATTTTTATTTTACATTTCAACGGAAAACTCCATTTTTTCACATTTGAACAATAAGAAAGAAAGAACTCAAGATACTGACGAACATGCATATAAATGTTTAACCAAACTAAAAATGCCTAAATATGGCCAAATATAAAGTAAGCAATGTGTGATTGTGGGGGTCCCCTTCTGCCTTCTGCCTTTTTTTTTTTTTTTTTATATATATATATATATATATATATATGTAGCAATATTTATTGAAGGGCAGATAGGGGATTACAATGGTCCCTAAGGGTTACATGCAATTTGATTGATATTGACATAGAGATGTATAACATAGTAATATTAACAATTGACTTTACAGTTAAGAAGTTATGCAGAGTGAGATGTCTTCCCTCCGCTGTAGCATCTCCTAGACAGACAACTCATGCAGACTGGCGATCCTCCTCTTGAGCACTGGTATACTGTCCGAGAAAAAGTCAACGACGTCGGCGACGCTATTACCAGATCTCTGGAGTCGGTACATCGTGTCGTTTGCTGCATAGTTGGTACGATGTTGCTGCCTAGCGAACAGGTCTCTGGAGCGAGTGGCTGAAGGGGTCCTGAACAGGATCTGGCTCAGCATATCGGGACAGTCGATCATGCCGTTAAGGATCTTTGACAGCAGTACAACGTCAGCCGTGAATCTGCGATCAGCAAGAGATTGGAGTCCCAGAGATCACGAGATACTTCCTCGATGGGAACCTGACGATAGGGAAGACCGTTCCTGACACCCACCATTCGGAGAAATCTTCTTTGGATAGACTCTAGTTCCTCTATGAGAAACTTCTGGTGGGGGTTCCATACTGGAGAGCCATATTCAAGGATTTGGCGTACCAAAGTGCAGTACAAAGTCTTTAAGGCCGTGTCGCTTAAGCCTTTTGAAAAGCGGAAGACAAATCCGAGCATTTTGTTTGCTCTGCTGCAAATGTTTCGCACATGCAACTCAGGGTTCAATGAAGGTAACAATGTGACACCGAGATCCTTTACCTGCAGTACACGAGTTAAGGGCTCACTGCGTAAGTTGTACTCGTAGACAATGGGGGAGAGATTCCGGTGGAAGGTCATCACTTGACATTTCTTGGTGTTGAGTTTCATCTTGTTATCTTCGCACCAGCGGTCAATCACACACAGATCTTTCTGGATTCGTAGGCAGTCCTCTTCAGTGGATATGATGGAAAACAGTTTCACATCATCAGCGAACAGAAGTGAATCGCATTGGAGAGCTTCGGGTAGGTCATTTATGAAGAGTGAAAAGAGATAGGGTCCCAGCAGCGATCCTTGGGGAACTCCAGAGTATGCAATAAATTCTGATGAAGTTGCCGAAGCAAACTTGATAAATGACCGCCGGTTTGAGAGGTAGCTTGTCAGCCACTTAATTTCCGTGCTTCCAAATCCTTGATCAAGCAGTTTTCTCAAAAGTAGTGTGTGGTCTACCGTGTCGAAAGCCTTGGAGAAGTCCAGATATATGGCATCTAACTGATTATTGACAGTGAAGGCTTCCTGTACTTTGGAATGAAATAACGTTAAGTTCGACACAGTAGACCTCCCGCTTGTGAAACCGTGCTGATGTGAGCAAATTAAGCCAGCCAGTTTAAGCTTTAAACGGTCAAGGAAGAGGTCCTCAAAAACCTTGGCAATTGCAGGTAGAATCGAGATCGGTCTATAATTAGCAACATCTTCAACGGACCCTTTTTTGTGGAGGGGAACAACATATGCCGACTTCAAAGATTCTGGGAAGACACCAGACGACAGTGACGCATTGAAAAGGTCACAAATTGGCCCCGCCAACAGACCACCACAATATTTTAAAACCACAGGGGGAATTTCATCAGGGCCCCACCCTTTGGTCTCGTCGAGCTTCCTCAACTTGCTCAATACTTCTTGGTGTGAGAATCCTGAAAATGCGGAGTTTCCAAGGTAATCACCACTAGCAGGCACAAATACCTCCGCTGGCTTCGCATACACTGAGGAGAAAAAATCCCTGAACAATTCGCACATCCCTTGGGGCTCCTTGGATTCGGCGTCATTGTAAAACATGCGTGAGGGCAGCGAGGAAGAGTTTCTAATGGAATTTACGTGGCCCCAGAAGAAACGAAGGTTCACTGATACTCCCTGATCTACTCTACTTAAGTGCTGACGGTAGTCTCTCTTCGCATCGAGGTACCTATGGTAGAATACAAATACGATGGCAAATAACACAAAAATATTAATTTTGGACTCTTAAAATTACGTTAATGTAAATCTCGTTAAAAAATGCTACAGTAAAAACACACTTTTAAAAACGTCAAAATTGTCTAGTATAGGCCTACAATTGCAAATTTTTAAAAATTATTATTTTTTTAACATTGATCTGTTTGGGTTTGTTTTTAAACTATTGATTTTAGCGAATTTCCTTGATATGGCATAAGCTATTACCGTATGTCTCATGGTAAGACCTCTGGACCCGTGACCGATTTAGTTTTTCGTTTTGAGGTCCCCAGAGGCCAAAAACACCATCCGTTCAAATTCACATATATATATGTGTCCGTTAGCGCGATAACTCGAGCAAAAATGATCCGATTTTGATCAAATTTGATATAAACGTGTAAACCTACATTTATTCGAACGAGTTCGCGAACCAGCATGATCGGACTATGGGAACAGGGGTTTATGGGGGATTTTATGGGGTAAAAATGGGTTTTTCTAATTTTTCACCCTGAAAACATAACATTTTGCAATTTCTTTCAAAACCATTTTGTAGAGCTCAAAAAAACAAATAATTTAGTATATTGAAGCATTGTTGCATGCCTAACGGTTACGGACAAATCGCAAAATAGTGTAAATTTAAAATTACCATGTTATTGTTATTCTTATGGAGAATAAATACAAGTGTTGTAGCTTCCTTGTCTTTGGACATATTTTAATGAAATTTTGTTTACTTCATACTAAGCTATTAATATTTCAATAAAAAACCCCTATTTTCTTCCCTGTAGCAGCAAACCTAAGTACTCATTAAATATTAATGATATTTAAATAGGAAATAAATCTGACAATTTTAAGGAAATAATTTAGTGGAATTCCAGATGTGTAGATGGAAATTCGCTTAGTCTGCAGGTTTGCTGCGGTGGGGGTATTTATTGATGACATTACTTTAAAACATTTTTTTTTCATCTGCTGTCATTGGTAACCGTGGAAAATTATTAAAATGAACAACACAGGGTTCGATGACTAGAGGGAGGAAAACTTCTGTAATCCTTTGGGATCATATATATTTATTATTGCATACTTTTACATATAAGAATATTGTCAATAAATATTTGCACTATATATCATACTATCAAATCGATATAATGCACTGTACATAATATGTATTCTATTAAGCACTTTTCTATTTTATTCTATTCGTGACCAATTCTACTTCTAGAACATTCTGTAAATCTATTTTTAAGGAACTCAAAACTTCAACACTACCATTCACGTACATTAAGAAATATCTGCGTTTTATTTCAAATCTAACTTTAATATGATAATGGAAGATCAACAATATATTCACAATAATGAACAGAAGTCATTTTCAGTTTCCTATTCATAGATAGGACTTTCTTTGAAAAGTTGCCTCAGTTTTGTTGGGAAAAAATATATAATAAGCTGCCATAAACATTGAAACATGATAAAGAATATTGGTAAGGATCATAAGTTTAAGAATAAAGTTCAGTTCCTCCTGCTAAACAAAGTATATTAATGTATAAAATGATTTCTTGTGACACTTTGATGTAAATATGAATATAAAATTAAGGCATTCAAGATTAAGTTATTTGCCAAAAGAATACTGTATCATGAATATTATTTTGCTTTTAGTTTTAAGATGTTGATTTGATATGCCACCGGTTTTAACTTGCTGGGGAGGAAAATGTATTGTGATGAATAAAGAATCTGAATGTGAATTGTTTTTATTTCAGCAATTAAATGGTTTGTAATAAAACGTTGTTTGTAAATTCTAAAATATGTCTTTTTATTTATGATATTGTTTTAAGCTATTAAACCCAATCAACGTCCAACCATTTGTCTATATGGTTCAACCACGCCAACCAGTCCCCGGTACTCAATTTTATTTTTAACAGATATGGAGCAAAAATGTTTTAAATTGTGTTTTGATAAACACACAAATCATTAAACCTTAACGAAATTAAAAGTTTATCAAACTTTGTATGACTGTACAATAATTAATAGCAAAGTTAATTTAATTGAATACATTAAATACAATTGGCTCACACTACAAATTTAAATGAAACCTAATAAGTTTGGAACAATATATTTCAAAACTAGTTTCCATACAATCAAACTTAAATTATTGAAATTCAATCAATATGAAACAACAGAGCAATAATTGACAAACGAATTCCTAACCTAAAATTACATTTGCAAAACCAAACCAACCGAAAATATTTGATTTACATAATACAGTATATTCTCTAACTAGTTTTCGGGGTTCACTTATCAGTTAAGTTTTTTCCAAAAAGGTCAGGGCGGTAATGACCAATGGTTATCAAATGATATGGACAACTAGACAACAGTGCTTTGAGCAGACATAGAAGAACATTGTGGATAGTTATCTATTGATTACGGTACTACTCAGTGCTTAGCAGCCTTCAGTGGAGTGATAACGGTGGAACTGAACAGTATAAGATGCCGCCTTCTGGGGACACACCGATTATTAGGTCGACATATTTTATTTACTTATTCATTAATTATGTAATAAAATCAGAATTTAAGTAATATAGATATGGTTGAAAATTGCTTAAGATAAATAATGAAAAGTGATAGCTAACTGTGAGCTAGATAGTATTTTTTTACTAAGCCAACAATAATAAATAAAAATATAATGCATACATTTATAAAAAATTATACCAAACATACTAAAAGATTTTAGTATGTATGTTTAATTGTTTAGTAGTATATGTCACTTGAATCAGAGAAACTTTTTGAGTTACGTTTTTAAGGAAAGTTTAAAGGATTAGTATACATTACAAAGTCAAATGTAACATAATTGACAAACAATCCTGTTTATTTTATATTTCATTCTATATGTTTCATAACATATGTGAGATATGATTTCTCTGTGTATGAGGGGGAGAACAATAAGAAGCCTTACAAGATTAATCCTGTTTAAGACACTGTAAATAATAATTTGCATCCAATGTCAGTGTTAAAATGTACATCAAAATACCACAGTAAGTTATTGTGTATTCTCTTGTATTTTATGTAATATGTCTGAATGATAAACTGAATTATTTGTAGCCAAATGTTATAATGAAACATTTTAATTTTGAATCTAGCTCAATACAAGTTAAGAAATCATAGTATTCCCCTGCAATTCTTATGAACAATTAAGAGAAAACATAGCTGTTTTGTTGGACATGGCTCATAGAAGATATAGGTACATTTTAATATAGGATCCCTCATCAACAATTTATTTCACTTAAGTTATTCTAGAAAAACATAAAAAAACAAATACTGTCCACGACAAAATGTCTTCTGGTCATAAGTTCCCTAGCTTAATTATGTCACAATAATAAATGTAATCGTGAATTACAAGAAAAAATATATTTCAAAATATGTTTAAAAATAATATAAAATGTACCATATTATATTGGACTAATAAATTAAATAACACATTAACTCAAGTCAGATTGCTAGAAGAATATGACTGACCTAGAGCAGTTTTGAAAGGAGCTCTTTACAATTCAAATAAATACAGTTACAGATTCATGGGAATAAAGAACAAAGAAAATTTGAGTCAATGCGTATTGTGTACCAACAGTTAAATTTCAAGCATTTGCACCCTCATAGATTAATAAATAAACAAACAAGTAGCGTTGAATGCATTAGTAATAACTGAACAACAAAGGGTTTGATTTTTGGCATCATGACAAAATAATATCTGTAAATTTATGTACATCTTTTCCGGTGTTTTTATCTTAATAGACCAAAGGATAAGCGACTCTAGTGTTACCTGAAGTGGATAAATAGCAATTTTATAACTATAAATGATAACATAGATAAGGAAATACATCACTCATAAAGCAAAAGCTAAATAGAATACTTGAAATGATCAATCACAACCTTCTTAAACAGCAAGAATGATTAAATATGCAGTGCATAATTTAGTTGTACTTAATTCTGGTTAATTTGTAAACTGCTAAAAAAATCAAACACAGTAAAAAGTTTTCTAGGTTCGGAGCAAATGATAACACTGTGTCAAAGTACAAATACTTGATGAACTGATAGGACAGTAAACACGACAATTGTATTCACAAAACCAAAATTATGTTGAAATATTTGCAAACTAAACTGTGTTATAAACCTATTCAGCCCTAAATGGTGTTGGATGGCATTTTTATTACTTAACACTTTAAATTTAAGTTTAAATGAGTTTAGTTTGTCATAGTTGGCATAGTGGTTTCATCAATGCATACATCGATGAGTGGTTTAAGTATCCACTTTAAGACCCTATAATTCTACATAGTTACTGGTTTCTAAAGATGACTGATCTTAGAATCAGATTTGTCATTTTGTCAGGCTTTCAATTAATGAATCTTTCTAACGGATCAAGAAATGAATGAATGAATGGATGATTTACCATTAAATTTGCTACATGGTACAAATGTTTACAATTTTAACTATAACTATTAAGTTTTACAAACAAGTAATCAGGAAAACAGAAAGAAAAATTAACAAAGTTGTGAACTTGTTGAATGATATAGAAAAGAACTAACAAAACAAACATAATAACTTTATAGTTTTGTAACTATTTATCATTTGTCTGTGAAATCAGCAGACATAGACAAACTCTGCCTGTGTGTCTGCTGGGTTGCTAATATTTTAAATAACCTTTGTTAATTTAGGAATTTAAACTGGAGATGGAATCAAAAATGGAAAAACAAGAATTGTTTTCATTTTACATGAGGATGAATGATAATTCAATTTACTTTTAATACTTTAATACTTTACTTTGAAATGGCGACCACACGAATGTAGGAATGTAGGGTAGGAATATATTTCAAGCCAAGTATGAAAGGAGTGTAGGATGAGTGGTGTGATTGACAAGAAGTGAATGATAGATATAATAATCATTTCTGTTGGAGCAAGTTTAACCATACAGTTAGTTGTGTCGGCCAGGAGCTGAACACATGGCCTTTTGGTTGTGGGAGGGGGGGGGGGGCAGCACAGTACAAGGGTCAGGTCATAACACCTAGGCACACACACAGTTCTCTTGAATGAATTTTGAAACTTAAATCTTTGACTATTCAGTATGCAATCCTAAAACAGTAGGAAAATATGTTTAAGTGTGAAAAATACACACATGATGCTCATTCTACTATGATCCATTTTACTGTTTACTTTGGAAAATACAAAATCTATTTCCAATGCCATCTAATGAAGGTGTTGAAACGTCCAGTTACATGGGCGTATAACATTTAAGAAAATGTGGTTTGTTCAAAAAAAGTTTGTTAGGAAACAGCACTACCGTATCAAAAGCTATGTTCTAACATAATTAACTCTTCCCCCGATTACAGATCAACAGTCTATCCGGGGGAATAATTCCATGTAATGTATTGTTCTATTGTACTGTTTGATTTTCGGAATTAAGAGTATTTTGATTTGATTTGTTGTAGGCAAGTTTTTTTTGTTTTTTTTTGGGGGGGGGGGAAATGCACCTACAATATTTTAATTTAAAAAAAATCCTTAAGTTAATGTTTCTAATATAATTTTTTTACAGTGATGTGGAAGATGGAGCCCGAAACAATAACACGTCAAACAGAGGAGATGATCTCCTCGTCATAGCGATCGTTGACTCCAAATCTACCGATCGTCTCACACATTTCTGCCGCCCTGGGGAACGGTCCATCCGATCTCCGACTGACTTGGCCGGACCTCCTCAGAGACAACTGTTCTGCAAAACTCACTCCGTCAAGACGAAATGTGTCTTAAAACCTGCCTCGGAAAATCATGTGTGTCAAACACCCGATGAAGAAGACGAACACATCCCAGCCAAACCAAAACCCCTGAAGCTTAGCGAGTTTTCAAAACAACAAGTGCTTGTGTTATTGACGTTAGCTCTAGGGAACTTTCTCAGTTTCTGTTCTATGTCTATCCTGGCTCCTTTCTTTCCCAAAGAGGTAAGATAGAAAAGGTAAGATGGCACCTTCGTCGATTGAGTGGTTTTTGTAAATGGTTGTCACAAGTTTATGTTACACTGTGTTGCAGTAAGCTGTTCGTTTAAAAAAATAAAATTTGATTGTTGGTGATGATTAAGTGAGTTTTCAAGCAGCAAATTCTAGGTAGAAAATTTCAGAAGGGGAAAATTTGAAATGTTTGGGAGATTATAAAAGAAGGGGTGGGGGTGTGAGTTTATTGAATTCATCTGTTTGCTGAAGAACAGTTTTTATTAAGTTTTGTTTGGATAAAACCCTTGCTGCTTAACCAATCCTATTCTTTGATTGATATTTAATTTAGGCTATTTACAACTTTCTACCAAACCATCTGTAGGCTAACACTTTGACTTCATTAAAATAAAATAAAATACACCTTTATCAAATAGAAAAGTCCTGTACAATTTCCTCAACATAAATAAAATATTACTATTCTATATCGTAGGAAAGTTCCATTGACTAATCAACTGACCTATTCCATGTGAATTGGAAAGATAAGAGATAACTAAATACAACAAACAAATCATTTATTTACTGTTATATTACTTTTTAGGTTTTTAACTTTTGTGTTTGAGGACTAAAAGGTTCAGTAAAATTGAAGCCCTTAAACAAAAAATAACAATTTTTAAATTGTCAGTTAGTTTTCCATGTAAATTTACCATTAATAAATTCTATTTTCTCAAGGTTAGAAATTATCCAGTTTACTATGTCAAACAACCAATGTTTAAAGGCAAGAAATTTAGGTTATGCGGATGAAAATATACATTCTGGTAGCAGGACTCTGAGTGGTTAAGGTGTTCTAGAAAAAGGTTACTGTATTAAGAAGGTTTTCAAGTTTGATCTAAACAAATCTACTGTAAACTAGACAGAGATGTTCTCGATCGTTGTGTTTTGGTCCAGGCTACGGAAACATTTGATTTTAGGTTCACAAGTTATGATCTTTGTATCTTATTTTCATTATTCATTAATTTTGGTTCCATCACTATCTTCATTTTAAATATTATATTTAACACACTTGAAACTGTCTGTGTGACAACTATTATAATCTTGATTAAATGATCTTTTCCAGGCAAACCTGAAAGGAATGGATGTATCACTTTCTGGGCTAGTTTTCAGCTTTTATGCTCTCATCGTCTCTCTCACCGCACCATTTTTGGGCAAGATGGTAAGTTGAAGCCATTTCTTTTAAACACTATACTTCTCACTTATTTGTGGACTAACTTCAAAGTTTGAGGGGTCAAAAAAAGGTCTAAATTTTTAATTTTGCAATAAGGTTTTAGAATTTAAAAGTTCTTACTCTTTAGGGCGCGAGGCGCTGTCAAAGGTAGATTTTTCCCTAAAAGAATTACATAGAACAAAAAAAAAAACAACTGTTTATAAAAAGAAACTCAGCATTTTTTTGGTAGGTAGTAAATCAGATGTTTGTAATATCAATAATAGTATATTTCGTACCTAGGGCCGAAAATGAGGTTTTGCCGGCTCGAGATAGTTTTTAAGTTCGAGACGAAGTCGAGAACTTAAATCGATCGAGAGCTGCAAAACCATTTCGGTCCGTGGTACGAACGCTATTTTTCACCACACTATACTCCATTACCACTATTCACCACCATAATAATGCACACTGATAGTCAACACAACTACAACTTTAAGGTTATGTGAAGAAATAATTTGAGGAATCAGCAAAAATAAATATAAATAGTTCCTAGGCAACGGTGAGAATAACACAATTCTATGCAATGCTATGGATTTCGATTGTGTATTTAGAATGCATTCATGTTTTAAGTAAGTAAGCGGACAGCTGATTTTGCGGCCCCGGCCTGTAAAAACCTGCTCGGTCCCCAAATTACGATGACAGCTGGCATGGCCAGCAAAACGTAACTTTCAGCCACCAATTAACGTATGTAATACAGCCAAAAACATCATAGTGTGGTGAAATAGTATATTTCGTACCTAGGGCCGAAAATGAGGTTTTGCCGGCTCGAGATAGCTTTTAAGTTCGAGACGAAGTCGAGAACTTAAATCGATCGAGAGCTGCAAAACCATTTCGGTCCGTGGTTCGAACGCTATTTTTCACCACACTATTTCCTATTACCACTATTCACCACTATAATAATGCACACTATAGTCAACACAACTACAACTTTAAGGTTATGTGAAGAAATAATTTGAGGAATCAGCAAAAATAAAAATAAATAGTTGCTAGGCAACAGTGACAAAATTCTATTAAAATGCTATGGATTTTGATTGTGTATTTAAAATGCATTCATTAAGTAAGTAAGCGGACAGCTGATTTTGCGGCCCCGGCCTGTAAAAACCTGCTCGGTCCCCAAATTACGATGACAGCTGGCATGGCCAGCAAAACGTAACTTTCAGCCACCAATAAACGTATGTAATACAGCCAAAAACATCATAGTGTGGTGAAAATATATTAATTGGTATCAAGAGGCTATAGACCAATGCAAATCTATCTATTTATATACCGTAATACACTAAGCTCATTTTGATGATTGGCCCTGATCTGTAGTTTTGCAAAGTGGTTTTCATTTTCCGAATATTTAGGCAGGAGCTTCTCTCAAAGTTGAGTTTCCTCTGATAAGGTTAGCTTGGGAGAATATATGTTGCTTTTAAATATTGTTTCTGTTTTGTTTTGATTTTGTTTTTATGTTTTATTGACAGTTTTAATAATGCAGCTGATCACATGTCTTGTATCAATTAATAAAATTTATGATTTAAAACCATCATAAACTTTTGTGATTTTTGTTTTATATTCTTAGAATTTTTAGGGAGGATGGCATTGGCAACTCTGTCCTGAGTTTTCTTTAGGTTCTTAAGTTTGGGAATTTTCTTAGGCAATACCGAGACTTGAAAATGAACCTAAAATAATTCAATTGTCTTCAGTTACCTAAGATTGGTGCCAAACCTCTTTACATCTGGGGTCTCATGCTAGCAGCAGCCAGCAACATTCTGTTTGGGTAAGGAGATTTTGTTTGTAAATCTATTTAAGGTGCGGTTTTGAAAGAATTAATTGATTTTTCTCATCAATATTTTGACCTTTTAACCTGTATTTATTAACTGTACTGAATTGGTATCAAATGAAAGCTCTTAGGTGCTGCTGATGTGTAGATTTCTACAGAGGCTGAAATAACTCCCTTAGGCTACGCTCTATTGCCTCTTAAAAGCGCCTATGTCAATGTGATCTTTATATTTTCTTTAAAATTTTTGATTTATTATTATTATTAAAAGATTATTTATCAATACTGTGATTTTTTTACCCTTTAAAATTACCAAGATAATGTTTAGACTAGAGTACAGAGTTAGTTCCAATTACAGTAATATAAGTTTCCCACCAAAAAGTTCTGGTTATAATAAAAAATTTACCTTTGTTGCTGTTGCCTGAGTTCTTTTAGGTAAGAATTTTGTGTCACCAATGTATTCGTACACCTGGCATCTTAAGGGGTCTTTTTGAATTCATTTTCTTATCACTAAAACTATACCCTAGACTATAACTACAAAAATATTTACACACATACTCAAGGTCACTAGTGTGGTCGTTATGTTATCCGATCGACCTGACCACGATACTATAATGACTGTGTGTGAGTAAAAATGTTTGTAAATACAGTATAGTCTAGGTGATAGGAAGGTGAATTCAAGAAGACCCCTGAAGACATCTCAAGGTGGAGAAATGAATAGGGTGACACAAACACCTTACCTAGAACAACAATGAAGGTAAAACTGATATAAGTTAATTCAATTTCTTGATACTAATGATAAAAATATTCAAACTTGCATTTGGTTATAATTCCAACAATAAAAAAGGTTATATTTTCAAATAATAAAATAGTTTTTTTGTTTGTTTGTCAGACTTCTTCCTCACATAATGGATTACACACTTTTCACAGTTATGGCTTTCTTAGTCCGGGGAATGGAAGCATTGGGCGCAAGTGCTTTCTCTACTTCAAGTTTTGTCTTCATCGTGGAGACTTTCCCCGACAACATAAGTACAATATTGGTGAGTTGAAAGAGAAAAAAGTCAGTGTGTGTGTATGTGTATCCATATGTCTAAATGTGTACAGAGCTACAGACCACACTTGAGGTACAAATTTTATGAAAATCTGTACCTATGTGTTGATTTATAACCTCCTGATCATCTCATGTCATTCTACGACCCTCGCAAAATCCCATCCAGGTTGTTTGGGTTTGATAAAATTGTATAATATGTCTAACATCAGTGTTAAACGTATTATTATGTTTTCAACAATGTGTTGAAATTAATATCGGAATGATTAATTTAAAAATACAAATACATATTTTGGTACATCCCTCCCCTTCTTCGGATTGTATTGTATTAGGTTTTGTTTTTCTACTTAACCAATTAATTTTTTGCAGGGTGTAATGGAGACAGTAATAGGTCTAGGGATGAGTGTAGGACCAGCAATAGGAGGAATTTTATACTCGGTAAGTACCACATACTTCTTCTTACTACACTTATATTAAATAGACAAAACTGTTATTAATTTTATAAAGCTATACGGTTGGTAAGTAAAAAAAAATTGGATATCCACTCTTATATTGCAAGTACAGTACCAGTGTTTTACAAAATGCTTTTTCAATTTCAATTTGTATTAAACACAATCTTAAACAAAATATTCATAAAAAAATTATCCATACTTCTATATTTCTTTTTAAAATAAACAATTTATTACACAGTAAAACCACATGTTTGAGCTGATGTTTGTTATTTCTTGATTGCTCAGTAGGATTTTGACCTGTAGATAACATGTTATCCAAGTTTCAGGTCAAGTTGGTTTAATCACTGATGCGTTTTTATAACTCACTGATGATTTTGCTTAAGTATCAATAAATGTAGCAAATAGGAATTTTTTTAATGATGAATAATTGTTTGCATCTTTCAATCACTTCCGTAGTGGTCTGTAGGTTACCATCCTGGAAAAAGTCACAAACTTTTTAATGGTTTGAAAAAGTACCCAGCTGTTCTTGATCTTTGGGCTTGTTAAAAGGACTATTTAAGGAAACAGCTGATCTTAGTCAGTAAAACATCTTATTCGTAAACATTCATCCTTCACTTTTCTTTTGACAAAACGTATCCTAATGTGTTGGCACTTGGCAGTAAACTAATCCGCCGAGAAGTTAGGTATCGAGGAAACACGCTAATGGGACGACCATGCGCTTTCAGCTCTGGTATATTGGGCCCGAAAGGTACCTGTGACACGCAAGGAAGAGCCTGAACTGTAAAGAAATTCATAATGCACAGCTAAAAGGTCTTCCTCCACCATGAGCGTTGTAGTGCATGAGGGAAAGGGGCGGAGTTGGACTTTGCCCTGGACACCATCACTTTTAAAAGTGTCCTTGAATATTTCCTCTGTACCTTACTTCTGTGCCTAATTTAATCCTTCAGTCGATATTTCTGTAAAAACGGTAATTATATTTTGTCTACATTCCAGATTGGAGGGTTTGGTCTGCCATTTTTCATCCTTGGAGGGATTATGTTCATTGTTGTGCCACTGGATATATGGGTTCTACCTCCAGCTTCTGGTAAACCACCCTTAAAAATTAATTTTACATTGTTTTATTGTTGTTTTAATAACATTGGAGGTACAAACATATGTATGCATATCTGCTGTAGGAAGATGAATGTAGGATTTCTACCAAGGGGACATTCTGTCGCCATCTTACTTTAATTGGAGTTCCCAGGAGGGGGGTGGGGGGTGGGAGAAGATAATTTTTGAAGACAGAGGTGTATTTTTACCATGGGGAAACACATTTGGAGAGTGAATTCAGAAGGGAGGGATATACTGATGTTATAAAAAGAAAAAGTGATGGAATGGGAATGTAATTCTCTCTTACTCATAATAAAAATAGCTTTAGCCAATACTTTTGTAGACAAACATTGAGGAAAGACAAAAAGCTTGGTTATTGATTAATATATTATTATATTTAATGTATAAAAATGCATACCTTGGTTCCCAAATTGTTTATCCTCCTACTTTAGCGCTGATCCAAAAAAATATCGTACTGATATTTTTGTTTTTTTTCCTTTTTTCAGCTGAAACAAAAAACAACCCTTCAGGATCTTTTTGGAAGCTTGTTAAGATCCCAGCTGTGTTTGTTGTTTCTATAATCATTGTGATCAGCTCTAATGTTTGGTCATTCTTGGACCCGGTGCTGGAACCTCATTTAGAGACGGTAAGTATCAAAACAAGTAAAATAAATCAACTTCTTTCAAACAAGAATATGTAAAAATTATTAAAATGCTTTTTTATTAATTGTGTTTTTATGAACTTCAATTCTTTGTTGAGGGAAAGAGCTCTCTTATTTGCAGAGAACTCATAAAAACATAGTTTCTAATGGATTTCACCATGTAGCTGTCACTATAGGCGACGCCCTACAGGGATATCTACAGAACAAAGGCACGTTCCAATCAGAAAACACATTCCGCACCATGCATGTGTCATGCAAACAATCCAAATGTCACGGAAAAGTATTAAATTAACACTCATTGATTATGTGCTCCTTTAGTTTGCTCAGATGAAAATAAACCCCTGCACTGACAGGTTGAAAAGATAAGTCTTGATGATTTCAGCAGATAAAGCCATATAGTGGTTTGTTTACCATCAATAACTATTTTAAGACAGACGGCTTTTACAACTTTTCAACTGATGTTACAACACAGAATCATCTGTCTTGTTGTGGTTCTTGTGATGATTGTTGTTCGTGTTGTTTATGTTGTTGCAGTTCTCATTGACCAGTCGGCAGGTCGGGTTTGTGTTTCTGTTGTTCTCCTCAGTCTACGCAGTGTTCAGTTTGTTCTGGGGTTGGCTGGCTGACAAGCTCAACAATCATTGGTCCATGATGGTGGTAGGCCTGGCTATTTCAACAGGTAGCCTGCTGGTGCTTGGACCTTCGCCCCACCTTACCTCCAAGCCTAAGTAAGTTCCAGTTATAGTCTAGAGGTAGAGCGAGTGACTTCAGTCCCTGAGGTCCTGCGTTCAAATTCTGCCGATCACCAACAGATTTTATCTAAAAAATAATAATGCTGCAACCCCTAGGCCTAGTCTGAAGAACTATGATAAACAATACTTGGCTAGAGCCTATACTGTCCTACGACAAGAAGAAAAATAGTGCTTTACTGACTTTGATACTGTAGAGAAAATAAACAGTATCACATACTTTCTTCCATTAGCTTATCAACAACCCTAGTGATAGTTAAGCTTTGTGTGTAACTGATATTCTACGGGGGAAATCACAAAAGTTGCAATAACTTTGAACCGTAATTTTATAGCGTTGGGGGTTGAACTGTTTTGTTTAGAGTTAAGGACCATAACATTCTAAATTTTAATCGAAATCGTTTGAATAGTTTTTGTGAAAATATGATCTTTCATTGTTGTTTGATGGGTTTTAATAGGATAATCACCATTAAAAATCTGAATACAAAAAAACACTTGGAATCAATATGACCTGTTTATGGAAATATTTGATTAAAAATCTAATCAGACAAATTGAAATTTGCGCGATGAAAGTGTACAGGTTTGCTGGGACCCGGGGTGTTGTAATTTGTTTAAGACCAACAGTAATAGTAATTCAATTTGTTAACTTTGGACATTATGTTTAAATATTCCTTACAGTTTTGAAAAATATGTATAAGTCCCAATAATTCACCTAGTTTTAAAATGCCTCTAACACACACTTATATAACATGACTCATGAATTTTACATAATCTGAGAATGATAAACACAAAATAAGTCAAAGTTCAGGGATTTGAGCAGATTGAGAAGGCAAATGATTAGAAATATTCGTAATGGTTTTGATTATTGATTCAACACAGTCCCAAATGCATGATTATAATGTGTTTAAGCTGAAAATCACATAATTTTTATTTAAGCTTGATGCTGCTGCTATATTGTGATCCAAATTGAGACAAAACATCCTTGAAAAAAAAAGGTCTCTGGAAACGACGATTTGTCAGAAGAAAAGTACAATTTCTCCTTTTTTTATGAACACTAATTTAATCCTGTCAACAGAACAATTAATTTTCAATAGAGTGTTGTTACTTCATTTCCATAAATGTTGCCTTGGAATGAATTTTTACCATTAAAATTCAAAATATTCCAACATAACATAACATTATATTCCAAAATATTTGCTTTCATATAAAATTGCTTGTAAAATTTACTGTTGCAGATTTAACATTTATAATATGAAACGTTATGTTGTAAAAAATCATAACAATCATCACTAGAACCAAGTCTAACGTGCACATTGATAACAATATCACTTACGCTGCTGTTATGTAAATAACAACAGTCTAGACTTGCAGACATGTGAAATCAGAAGTTGATAAAAACTAATACATTTTATAAATTGCATGTTTGTGTTGAGGAATTTGAAACTTTAGGAGTCCATCAGCTGCAATTAATTCATTCTTACTGTTAGAAATTCGAATTAAGAAGTAGAAGCAGTAGATTTCTTAGTAAAGGGACCCCTTAGTAGATTTCTCATCCTTTTGGAACAGCTGAACACGATTTTATTGTCAGTTCTGTCCAGTGCACTGTAGAGGTTGTGTTTTGTTTACAATTTGTTTCCTGTTAATTCAGTCATTTAAAACCTAGTTTAACCCCTAGTTTAGTCCCCTGGTTATGTAACCTAACTGTAAACCACAAATCAAGAAATTAACCCTCAAATAATAGAATCAAAATTTTGTTGACACTCAGTGTCACTGTATTGCCCAGTGTCACCATACATAAACTAGACACGAAAAACGAGCTTCAAATTTTACAATGGGATGAAAAGTCTACTTGTATTGGTTAGTCTATGGTAGAAGGTAAAAACCTCCAAGAAAGCATAGAGTTAGATCTGTAAAAATGGGGGAGCAGACGTCCACTCATGCTCCCTTCATGTTTTCAGAGTTGAAAATGAAATCACACAAATTTGATAAACAAATCTTAAATCTTATAGACGGGATGCAAAAAGTTTCAAACTTTTTATAACAAACTAAGGGTACGTCTAGAGTGGACTCTGATTCATATTTAGATTTTCGGCACGAGGTTAATCTGAGTCAGATATTTTGTTGGTGGTCACAGTGGAAGCAGGAAATACACCGCCGGTACTGACTTGGTTAGCAAAGAAGCAAGTCAGTCATTGTTTTGGAATTGTCGGATGAGGAATTAACATAACGTCTGAAACTGTTGTGAAGTTACAGCCAGTGAAAAATTGTATTCATGATATTATACAGGGTGTTTTTTTAAAAACTTGCATCTTTATTTATGTAAAAACCGCAATAGATAGAAATATGCAGTTTGCGGGAATCATCTATTGAAGTAGGGGGCCCAATTGTTTTGAATTCAACGTTACATTCACATTCCCCCCCTTTCCCCCCTGCCCCCAACTTATTTTTTTTAAATAGCAAGGTAGCTTGTGACATATCAAATGAAAGAGCATAAAAAAAGAAAATGTTTGATGAAAAAAAATAAAAATCGGTTCATAAATTTGCGAGATATTCCCCCCCCTCCCTTCGCCGGAACTTGATTTTTTTTTAATAGCAAAGTACCTCTTGTGACATATCAAATGAAAGAGCATGAAAAAAGGAAATTTTTGGTGAAATTTATTTTTCATTTGATATGTCACAAGGGCGGGTACCTTGCTATTAAAAAACAAGTTATGGGTAGGGGAAAAAGGGGGGGATTATCTCACAAATTCATGAGCCGATTTTAAATTTTTTTCCACCAAAAATTTCCTTTTTTCATGCTCTTTCATTTGATATGTCACAAGGGGTACTTTGCTATTAAAAAAATAATCAAGTTGCGGGGAAGGGGGGGGAAATATCTTGCAAATTTATTAACCGATTTTTAATTTTTTTTTTCATCAAACATTTTCTTTTTTCATGCTCTTTCATTTGATATGTCACAAGGGGTACCTTGCTATTTAAAAAAAATAAGTTGGGGGCAGGGGGGGAAAGGGGGGGAATATGAATGTAACGTTGAATTCAAAACAATTGGGCCCCCTACTTCAATAGATGATTCCCGCAAACTGCATATTTCTATCTATTGAGGTTTTTACATAAATAAAGATGCAAGTTTTTAAAAAAAACACCCTGTATATATCTTTTCCCATAGGAATCATAGAGCTTCTTTCTATATTGCTTTGAATGAAGCCCGAAACCACCGAAACTTATTATTAAAATTGGACATTGTATTATAAGAAACTTTTGTAACCTACAAAAGAATTTTCCTGAAGGGCGTTTAGTGGTAACCCTAAAAGTAACAAAGTAAGGATGAAAAAATGTAATATTTTACCATAAAATCAAAATTTATTTAATCAAATAGTATGCGTACGAGCAAAATCTGAATCGGAATCTGAAACCAGAATAAAGATTTCATTCCGGTAAGCAGGTGGCTGCACGGGCTCGCAAACCAGCAGCCATTACGGTCACTTCCCATTTGAATGCAAGTGCCATTCCTCCCCTGGAAAATCTGAATCGGCGTGCACTCTGGACGTACCGTGAGACATTTAGATTGATTTTAAATGTTAACGTTTGTCACAGCGCCCTCTGGGTGGACCTGGTAGCGCTGTGTGTGTTGGGGATATCAGTGGCTCTGACTCTGATGCCGACCTATCAAGCGATTCTCAACTTTGCAGTGTGAGTACCTTATAATTGAACCACTAGTTGGTTTATTTAAAAAATACATAAACATTACAATGACTAAAACTATTAGAATTTATAATGTAAAAAACAGCGTTTGACTTGTCAAAATTACATTCCAAAGGGCAGTGGCTGAACAAGGATCGATACCAGACGGTGGCTAAGGGGTCAGGTGGGAGTTCACAGTTAATCTATGCTATAAAATACAATTTTATCTAGTGTGTGGACATCCGAGGGGGGAGCTATAGCTTCTTTTCGCCTCTCTATGGATCTGCCACTGCCACTGGTGTTAAGCTACAAGTTGTAGTATAACAGCTGGTATCAATTGTGTTTAAAATATTTGTACTGTACATAAATGTATGAATCAAACTTATTTTGTAATGTGTAATGGTAATGTCCTATACACTGCGATTTGGTTAGGGATCAAATTGATCTTTCATCCAACTATACATTTGTGCAATCTTTGTTAGATAATGTGGATAAAAAACAAATAAAAAGGTAGGCAAAGGTATAAACGGTAAGCAATTTACTTACGATGAAAGTTTACCAAGGAAAGATTAAATGTCAAAATTATGTTTCTCTAGGGAGAGAGGTCTGAAGAGACACGTGACTACTTACAGCTTGGTTGCCGGAACTTGGTCTTGTATGTATTCTTTGGGGTAAGCAAAAAACTAAGTTACAGTACTTAATAGCATATTTTGTACCTAGGGCCGAAAATGAGGTTTTGCCGGCTCGAGATAGTTTTTCCACCAAAAAAAAAAAGATCTAGGGCTGCAAAACCATTTCGGTCCGTGGTACAAACGCTATTTTTCACCACTATACCCTATTCACCATTATAATAATGCACACTGATAGTCAACACAGCTACAACTCTAAGTTTATGTGAAGAAATAATTTGAGGAATCAGCAAAAATAATAATGAATAGTTGCTAGGCATCGGTGACAATAAAACAGTTCTATTGCAATTTGCAATGCTATGGATACTGATTGTGTATTTAATATGCATTCATGTTTTAAGAAAGTAAGTGGGCAGCTGATTTTGCTGCCCTAGGGATGTAAAAACCTGCTCGGTCTCCAAATGACGATGGCAGCTGGCATGGCCAGCAAAACGTTACTTTCAGCCACAAATTAATGTATGTATGTAAAACAGCTAAAACATCATAGTGTGGTGAAAACATATGAATAACTAGTGTAGTGAATATAGTCAGCAAGTGATATACAAAACAGCTGTAGATACTACTCCACGAAAGCAGCTAAGTAATGACACAACACAAAATAATGTTGGAAAACTTGTAATTCACCTGAACCATGATTCACCCTACTATTTGTAAAATCTGTCAATTAGAAAAACAAATAAGCCTGAGTGTTTTTGAACACCTTTATAAAGCCTTGAACACTTCATGCACTATGATTAATTGCAAGAACAGTTGCCTTTACACATGCTATACATGCCTTTGTTAAAAGTTGTGTTAAATTAATGTGTGTATTAACTGTGTGAAAAAAAGTGGGTAGACTGATGAACCTAGGAACCAAATTAGGTAACTCTTACACTAAACCATTTATGACTCTCATAACAAGTGTTAACTTAGACTTCAAATACACTCACTTTTTCTTAGATTGTATTTCAGAGAACTTTCATTTTAACTTTCATTAAATAAAATATGTTTTCAGCGAAATGATTGGACCAACAGTTGGAGGCTTTGCTCTACAGAACTATGGATTTCCCATTTTAACAACTGGGATGGCTTATTCAACTTTCATCATGGTAAGACTGTTTTGAGTTCCAGTATCAAGTTTAAAACTCTGTTAGTGTCCCTTGCCATTTAAAAATTTGATGTTCTATGTATTTAAAAATTTTTACCATGTGTTCAACTAAATTTTTTACCTATTTATCCGTTAATTTCTTTTTGTCTCCTTTTAAGACCATTCCATACAATCGTCACTTTAGTAGTGTACTAAAGTGATAAATCTTTTGCTACCTGTAATCTGGAGCACGATTGGGTTACAAGATGATGGATTATTGAAATTATCCTTATATCGGGTGTTTAAAAATGAATATTAAAGTTTTACTTCTTTATAACTCTTATTACACTCAACTCACTGCTGTAAATGACCCAAATAAATAAAGCATGAAAAAACGGATCAAATCAAATTATATGATAAAAAATCCATATGCGATGATCGCAAATAATTTTACCTCTATCAAATGTAATTTGTTCCAGATGGTCATCAGCCTGGTATACTTCTCCTGCAGACATTTCTGTCCCGCAGAGGTGGAGAGTGAAAAGAGTACCCAGAAGAAGCCACTACTGGAGAACCCAACCATGTACTACGGAGCCTGTACTGACCAGTGTGTCCTGACATTGGCTCCAGTCTCACAGAACAGCATGGCCTTCTCTGTATAACCAAGAGTGGTATGTAAATTGTCACTTAAAGTAACGACAAAAAATTGTAAGAAATGTAGCATCGAAATGTATAACCAACAATTATGTACTAAGCAACTAATAGTAACCGAAAAAGATTCAGGTATTTGCAGTTACAAAGGTTAGGCCTACTTACTAAATTTTATGCATTGAATAACTGACTTCTAGTGTGCTTTCAACAGTACAAGTCCTGAAGAAAGATACAGGATTATTCTTTTAGTGTGTGTATAGCCACACTAACATTTTAAAGGTTTTTTTTGTGAGGTATTGGTTAAAATACTGGTCTTATCTACTATCGCTGAGCTTTTGGAAGATAGAATCATTAATTGATACAATTTATTGATATCCGGATGAAAGGCCTTCTGGGTGTGGAAAAGTTCATACTGCACTTGGAATCGAGCCATCGACGTTTAGATTTAAAGGCGAGCACTGTAAGTAATCATTTGGCTACACATACACTTAAATTATCATGCATTTAACACGTTTGCCACCGATCGCCACATATTTGTGACTCTCAAGCTCAAATCATTCGCACGGCCCGAGGTATACATTTTAATATTACACATAGACCGGGTGTCACTTGGTTAACAGCTTGCAGACTGCGGGCCAGTGATGCAGCAAAGTAAAAATATAGTTTTGTCAACTATCATATGACGTCACTAATCATCATATCCACAAACCAAGTGACGCACATATGCGACAGACATCCCTGTTGACCGCTGCAGAGAATTCAGAACCATAAAATAGAATGTTATGAAGATATAGGCTTTCTAATAACCTTCTTTTCATTAAACTTATTTATTGTTTTCAAACTGATGCCATTGACACCAGAATTAATATTTTACTTGGTCATAAAATGCTTTAATCAAAATTATTAAACTATAAGAAACTTGAAGAACAACCACACTTTTTTAGTGTCAGTAAAATGCAGGAAATCAATCTAACTTTGCTCTCAAATATGTTTTAAACTTTTTTTTCTTACTGCAAAATTTTGTTCAAACTAAATAAAAAGTTTCTTGTTTCAGGTTTTGATCCTACTACGAAGACTGCACAACTGCTTGTAAATAGCTGTACATAGGATACTACTTCTATTTCACAGTCAAGTATCATAAGTTAACAATTCCTCCTAAGGTAGAAATGATCTGAGGCAGTACAGTATTCTGTAGCATTACCGAATGTGATAGTCATGTTCTGAATACTTATTTTAGTGTAAAACATAAGTGTTAATTGATTTGTTAAGTTTTAATAGTTTTATTTCTTCATTGTTACTCCAAAAGGTAGGTTAGTACTTAGCTTTAAACCATAGAATTGCCATAATTTTGAAAATAAAAAATAATAAAAATAAAAATTATTCACAAATCTGTTTGCGGTACTCACACCCAAATCAAATTAAAGCTTCTATGAGTCAATGTAAGATGTATTAAGTGTTAATTTAACTATAGATGTTATTGCTAATGAAAATTATTTAATAAGATTCCAATAAGTGTTCACTGTAAACATAGAATCAATAAATAAATTAAATGTTAAGTCCTGTTAAAGGTGTTTGATATTTTTTTATCCTGGGATATTTCTTGACTTTAATCTTGAGAAAAGTTAAAAAATACAATACATTACATAAGATTTTTTGTCATTTTTATCACCGGAAAACTTATGGCAACAGTACGGTATATCATTTATCACAGTTTCCCGTTTGACATCTACGTTTTGTGAAATGTTTAGAAGGAATTTGGAAAAAAATTAAATTAATAAAAACATATAGACTTATTAAACTACCAGGGCAAATTTAATGTGACTATAATGAAACATACTATGCTATGTAAATAGCAAAATGGTTTAAAAGAAGGAAGATTAGAATAATAATGAAATAGAGAAAGCCGATATATAATCAAGGGTTTGCATACAAATTTATAAAATATTAACAAACACTATATTTTATTTTATAAAAATACCAGAACAAACATAACATCTTACAAGATATTAAATACAAAAATTGTGATGATATTTTTTGTTCAAATAACATATTGAACACAATGAATAATAACTTTGTAAACATCCCTTCTCACTGAATAAATAACTTTCAACTAAATAAATAAGAATAGGAAATATGTTCTTACAAAAAACTTGAATGACTGAAATGTTTATGTGAGATAACAATTAAAATCAAAATTTTAGGAATATACAGTTAACAGTTACAATTGTGTATAATATTATGCAATTGAACCTCATTAAACAATTGTAAAATTTTTAACCTCATTAAAACTTTTAAAAGGTATTTTAAAAGATAACACTCGTTTATTAAAAAGTAAAATTTGCTATTCCAGGTTTCAGTTATGTTATAGTTATTTATGTAGGATAATATTTATTCATTTGTGCTTTTTTGCTATTTAAGAGATCCAACAGTTGTTTCAAATCTCAGTTAGATTCTTAAGAAGCTAAATCTAGAGAATCCAACAACTTTTTTACAATAATAAACAACTATAAAACACAGTGAAAATAATCCTCACAGATATCTACATTTAAGTATCCTAAATCTACTTAATTTTTATACTAAGCTATTGCCATTGGTGCAAAAATACTGATATTTGATTCACACAGTTATGCCGATCCTCTAAAACCTCCTACTAAGAAACTTTGCTTTTATGGTTATAGTTTGAAACATAACTTCTCAATTCTCTTCACTACTGCTCTCGGACAGTCCAGCTTCAGGTTTAATCTGCCTCACGTTCCTCCTCTTCTTAACTTTCCTTTGCTTCTTAAAAATCTCCACTGCTGCCTGCTTCCTCTTCAAAGCTTCCAACCTGTCTTTCTCTCTCTGAGGAATCACTTCTGGTAGTTTCCCATTGACAAAGTTCTCGTCAATGTCCAGAGAGCCTCTCCCTCTACCAGCTGTTTCACTCGGCCTCGCCTCTTCACTTTGACCTCTCCCTCTCCCTCTCCCCCTTCCTCTTCCCCGACCGCCTCTCGGTTGCCTGGGTCGAGGTTGAGTAGGTTCAAAGTCTTCACCGCCTCCTTCAAGTCTATTCACAGCTGACTGAACTCTTCGACTCATCTGCTCTCGGTGCGCCATTATGTTCGGGACAGCTCCGAAAAATGTATGGATGGTCAACTGACTCTGAAAGAAGCAAAGCAAATTTTTGAGTTTAGGGTGAGAATTTCATCATTAGGATTACTTACTTACTTACTGCCCTGGCCATTTGTACCCCAGTCGGTACTTGGCCTCAGCAACACAGCGCCTCCATCCGTCTCTTTCTTCAGCATCCTCCTCTCCAATTCCCAGCCGCCTCATGTCTTGTTGCACCTCATGCACCTCCTTTCATCATTAGAATTAAGGAACTAAATTAGACCAACGAAGCGAGCCACAAACCACTGAGACAAAGATGATCGACGAGTATTGAACAACTGAGGCGACAGCTTTCTCAATGATTTTCTCAATAAATTAGTACTTTCACTAGATTAATTTATTTGAAGACTTTAAGCACTTTAAGGACAAATGGGTCAAACTCCAAGCCATCAAAAAGTATCTAATTTTATTTTTAGAATCAATCTAGAACCAAACTCCTTTAGATTACAAAGTGAGAACTCTAACCACTTGAATTTCAGACTCTTAATCTTAACAGTATTGGAAAACACTAGTATCTGCATTAAAAAACTAGGAACAGCGGAATTAATCTAGTCATAGGTTTGTACAAGAAAGAGACCAAAATGTGCATTTCATTTTGTAAACCAGCCAAATTGTTCTTCCTCTAATCTCACAAAAAAAAAACTGACAACTCAAAACTTACAGATTTCTGAGACAGTCTGTTGATGACAGGCTGCAATATCTGATCGGTTCTGCTCCTACTCCAGCCAAACCTTCTCTCAGCGTAGTCCCGCAGTCCGGGGAGGTCCGGGGAGCCCCAGGAGAATGGCTCTCTGGACTCGTCGACTCTCGGCTGTAAGTAAGCAGACACCACGGCTTGGCTGGGGAACCCTAAACATGGTGGAAGAGTGTTTTAAAGCTGTGTATGTTCATGACAGATTTTTGATGTATGACAATTTTTTATTAATTTACTTATTTTAGTTTTTAACCTTTTTAAGGACGAGTATGAAAATCAGGAGTCTCCAAAGAATTAAAGGATGATTTTAATTTTTACCACAGTAGGCCTATATTACCAGAAATATTAGTCTCAGTGATTATACCTTATATTGTCAAAATACGTTTCATAGACTTTTTAAAAGTATTCAAATGTTCAAAACAATCTACTGAATTTAAATTCTAAAACATTACTTGTAAAAGAAAGAAAACTAGCCAAAGTTTAGATTATATTACTAGACTATATTAAAATTTACCTATGGTGAACACATTAAATGTTGTAAGTTTTCATGGTGGAGTCACTTGACTCCAACTTGACTTCACTTGAAGGAGGGGTGTTAAATGAAGAAGATGATTGCTTCGTCAATGACTATTGGCCACCAATTCAAACCACCATTCAACTCAAAACAGTAAACAAACTTGAAACTTCTTTCTTTGGTAGGCCTACTTACTAATGAGTTAGTAATAGAATACCTAGATGCACCACTTACCCTGGTGCAGATCAATGTTCCTTAGTTTCTTGGCCAGCTGCTGATGTCCAGGTGCTGATGACTCCCACCACCGCTTGAACTGCAACAGACTGGCCAGCAACTCCCCACAGTCCCGGGTGTCCCCCTGTGGCGGGGGGAAGGTGGACAGTATCTCCAGGGCAGTGACGGGGCCAACCCCCGTCAAGCCTTCCGTGTAGTCTGACCCGACCAGCAATGCCAGCAACACAAGGCCGTTACGGTTCAGTTCTAGAACATTGCATGGTTTCCGCGTGTTATAATTTTATACAATTGAGAGCCTAAAAGAAAGGTTTATTTGAGGTGTTTATATAACCAAAGGAAAATATTTCCCTTTTCCTGAACTGAAAATATTTACTGTGCCGTTATACATTCCTGAAGTACGGCTACCCTCCTATGTCAAGTCTCACAATCCTCACAATCTCAAGACTAGGAGAAATTCACTTGTACAACAACAAATGGTAACAAAGTCCTGCTACTGATTCACCATTCTATGCTAAACAAAGAGAAATCCAGCTACACCTACTTCCAGGTCATCTTAAGGAAACTACAGAGAAAATAAACTACATGAAAGGAACACGAAAAGCACCTGATATGGAGCAAGCATGAACACTTACAGGGCTGTGCGAATACAGAAATTTTAGTTCGAATCCGAATCCGAATCATAGCTGTACAGATTTTATCGAATCCGAATATTTTAATTAATCCCGAGTCGAATCTGGGTCGAATCCGAATCTCAAATTTACAGCCATTATCGAACCTGGATCGAATCCGAATCTGAAATTTAAAGCTGTTATCGAATCCGAATATTTAAACCTGTTCAGAGTCAAATCCAAATCCGAGGAAAGTCAGCAGTACCAATTTTCACATTTTTAGACCACATTTTCTGGGGCTGAAATAACTTAGGGAATTGCTTAAAATTTCTTGAAATGGGCCAAATAAAAAAGTTATAAAATTTAGGCCTACCTATTTGAAGTTTTGAAATAGGTTAAGTTGGCATAAGTTAGGCATACCACCTAGGCCTAAGTTACTCGCTAAAAGTGATGGACTACCAATTTGTGTAGTCTAAAACATAGGCCCAGCCTATTATACACCTCGGTGTTAATCCTCCACACTAGCCTATGTCTGCATTACTATTACAAGTAACAACTAACACTGTGAGGTTAAGTTTACTGATAGCCAAGATAGGGTTCAAATGCGACCTACACTAATGTGCCTAAAACCTAACACCAAGTTGGTCAGGTTCCTAACATGAACCAGTCAACAGCAAATCGGAGTGCACTAGTAGTTTTTTAGTGTCTAAAAAATTATATTGAAAATTATATTCAATCAGAATCTAGTAAATTTGAATATCAAATCCCAACTCGGATCTATTTCCAAGAAATTTGAATATCGAATCCGAACCCGGATCTCTTACCAGTAAATTCGAATATCGATTCCGAATCCGAATCCAGTTAGAAACAGTAGATTCGTTCTCGAATCCGAATCGAATCTCTAAAAAGATTCGGATTCGATTCGTTTTTCGAACTATTCGCACAGCCCTGAACACTTATAACATTTTTTCCTACCACTGCATGGAAATGATTACATTGCCACACCTGTGAACAATACGCAAAAAAGCTCATTCATGCTTCCCATTCTTGCTCGCTAAAGCAGCTAGTTTCACTGTTGCTACACCAATAGCTATACATCTTGTAGTTTAATCCTACAATTTTGCAGTGATTCTGCAGTTTAAAACTAATCTATCCAAACACAAAAACATTACTGAAAGTTTCCAAGTATTTTATTACAAAATTGTAGGCCTAAAGCAACTTACTGAAATAGTGGTTAATATTGTCTGCTTTAAACTCCAGAACAAACTTCTTCTGGTCGAAGAAGTTCTTGTAGACAGTTCGGCCGCCGAAGAGCCAAATGTCACTGTCATCTGTGATGGAGCCTTGCGTGAGCCCCATTAGGTCCATGAATGCACACTGGGCCTCTGCCTCCATAGGGGCTACCACATACGGCACTCCAAACAACCGCAACAACTCCTGCAGAACAAAAATCCAAATTTTATTAACAACATGAGCAACATTTCAGAAGCCGCATGGTTAGGGTATTGACAAGTCAGTCACAATCCTGCTCCTGTTCTAACAGACACAGCAATGAAACAAGACAGTTACAAACAACAAAACATTTATTAGAATGGGGTGTTACTGAAAATGTGCAGCTTTAATTTATAAAACTTTGATTGATCCAAACAACAAGAGTTACCTGAGCTTCTTGATACATTTGATCAGTCATAGAAGTGGCCATGCGGTCTTCTTTGTTTTGGTCTAACACGATTTCTTGTTCCTTTGTTTCCAAAATTTCCTGCAAAATGTAACGAACAAAAAATTAGAAGAGTATAATTTGACAACATCAGGACACACCAAAAGTAAGTCTCATACAGAAACATCAATAGAGGCTTTCAAAATAAATCGCAGGAGGTAAAGTTAAATAAACCACTATATATATATATTTGTTTATAAGTAATTAAACAATACAGATTGCATTATATGTGTTACTTTGGTAGGTTTACTGAATAGAAAATACTTTTTCAATAGAAAATAGAAAATAGGAATTACAAAAGATTGATTAACCAAAATTACCTGTAACTTTTCCAACTGCTTCATATTTAATTTCCTCTTTGGTTTTTCAACACTAGTAGAAGGCATTTCTTCTCTCGGGGCTGGATCATCGACCACTTCGCTATCTTCTAACTCTTGGGGATTGTCACTATGAAAAGTTAATGAGTTGTCCCTTTCTTTCTCTCCTTCTTTGTCCTGGGTTTCACTTTGGTTGTCATATTTGTATTCTGTTGATTTATTAGGCAATGCAGTTTCTTCCTCAGCTTCTGATGCAATCTCCTGATCTTCGGTAACAGGTAACATATCATCTGAGGATTCTTCTGATTCACTGTTCTTCTCTTGGTTATTTTTCTTCTGTGTAATACTTTTCTGTGTAATACTCTTTCTGTGTAAAAGAGTATCATTTGTACCACCAATGCTTTTATTATCTATTTTATCCACATTTTCAAAGTCCATATTTGCCTTGTTACGACTTTTATTTTCAGTCAGTACATCAACAAATATATCATCATCAATAGAACTTTTAATAGGATTTAATTTGATTTGTATCTCTGTTGGTTCTTCGATCAAGATTCTACTATCATTCAATTTCTTCTCTAAACTAACTGGTTCTTTATTCTCTTGTGAAAATATGTCTGCGAAAATGTCATTTTCAATAGGACCCGTATTTGGCTGAATTTCAATAGATATTCCAGCAACAGTTTCTTTAGTATCGTTCACACTCTCGTCCATTTGTTTAGATGGACTAACTTCAACAAAGTCATTATCTGATTCACTAGATGATAACTCTGCGACTTTGTTTGCTCCGTTTGTAGCCGTGTGTTCTTCAACCGTGTTAAGTTTACTCTCTGGTCTTTTCTTAAAGAGAGAAATACTCGCCATGTTTGGTGATACCATCTTCGAGACATTACAAGGCAAATTATGATCAGAATCTCTATCAGAATCACTTGTATTTGATGCTAAAGAAGACAAATCTGCAGGTTTTGAATCTGACGGCTTTCGTTTACCAGTAGCAAGATTTGGAACAAAACTGTTATTAACTTTTGCTCCTCTTTTGGCCGATGAATTTTTACCTTTTTTCATTTTATTCTTGAAATCGTACATTCTATCCATCATCTTGAAATAGAGCATGTCTGAAGCTTTCTCTTGAGGGTTAGTTGTAGATGCTGAAGTTGTCGAAGTAGTTTTATCTCCCACTTCTAAATCTTGCGCTGACGAACTTTCTTCTATTGAAATTCCTTCTTTACTTGTAGATGGTGCGTTGGGATCAATCTGATTTATCTTGTCTCTATTCTGATCTCTGATAATTGCTAAAATTTGTTCTTGAGAAAGACCTCGGTTTTCTTTCAAAATTACGTTTACATCGTTTAAAAACGTTTCTTCTGAACTGGAGTCATTTTCAAAGATGTCTTCAGTTGCAAATTCATTATTTTCTTCTCTATTAGCAACGTTTTCAGTTTCTTCCCTTATCCTATGTATAGTTTCAATTGCTTCTACTTCCTTCAATATTTCAGTATCAGAAAGTTCATCACTGCTTATAATCTCCTCTTTGATCTTCACATTGGATACACTCTTTGGCTCTTGAGAGTTTTCTTCTTTTCCGAAACCTTTAGATTGTGTACTATTCTCCCCAGTAGGAATTTGGGACTGCTTGTCACTTTCTGTAATCAATTTTATGAATTAGAAATACATAATGTATTTACATACAAATGCAACTTTAAGTTTCTATTTTAGGTATGCATCAAACAAATCATTAATATAACAATAAAAAAATATATATATATATTTAAACACTAACCTCTAACGTATATAAACCTAGTGACATCGTCAGATGCAATCCTTTTGCCCAGTTGCGGGTTTATTTCGATCCCTCCCTCAGCCATCAGCGCTTCTACGTCGTGCAAACTCAAAGTGCGGCCTCCCATCTCCTTCTCTGCCTCCTCCAAAGACACTTGAACTGAGCGCCGCTTCAACAGACGGGACATCTGGTATTTTGAGAAATTAGTTGACTCCTGAAATTTCAATAAAAATAGTATACAAACAAAACAATCCAATTAGTCCAAAATTTTAACATTAAAACAAATTGACTATGAACACAACAATTCTAACGGAGAAGCAAAACATTATACTGCAGATTTATATTGAATATACGTATTTCAGCACAAGCTGTCTTGAGTAATAGCCGAGTGGTTTAGAGAGCTCTCTTAGTAATAAAAAAGGTTGCCAGTCTGATCTTTTGATCAAAAAGTTTGGAGCAATTTTACATAAGATGAGTGATTCTCCCTATAAAATATCACAGTTACTTCCACCGCTTACCCATGATAAAGGTTGTTGACAAGCTGAATTTAATGTGAGAAAGTATGCGTTAGATTTCTGGTACCGTTTATTTTTATACTAAAACTGTAAAAAAAACATGGGAAAGAAAAGTCTTCTCTTCATAGTCAAAGGCAGGATCGAACTACTCTACCTCGGGCATCTCATGTATGCGGCCCCATGAGCTCTGCTTCCTAGTCTCCTTCAGTTCAGTCAGGATATCATGTCTCATGTCTGCAGGAAGACTTCTGAACTCTGCACTCTTGACATCAACACAGTGCAGGTCCTTGTATTTCATCTTCACTGGCTTCACATCTTCCTCCGAACTCTCCGACATCTCTTCCACTTCTGATCTAACATGACCCATGAATCAGACCAGATGAATATCTAAAACTAAGGGAACCTTGAAATCCAAACAGAAACACTACAACAGTCTTAACAGTTGCAGTATTTTGGACTTAAAGCCAGTGGGGTATACCAAATGCCTGTGCAACTACTGTAATATTTTAAATATCAAGGGGCCAAAGAAATACAATTGAAATACTGAACCATTAAAGTAGTTGAACTGCTAATAAAACTTTTTTTAGTAGGCCGCTCAAACATAATATTTTAAAGAAATAGCAAAAAAAAAACTAAGAATTAATATAGCCAACCATATAAAATTAAAATGAAAAATTTAATTTAATTTTTCAATTTAATTGATCAAAAACACTTCTTTGAACGTATCACTCTGACAACCAGACTTACGCAGAATCTTCTTGGGGTAAGGGAGGCAGTTCGAACATGTCTGGAGCTTTTTTCTTCGGACTCGTCTGTCCTCTGATTTCCTCCAACACTTGGCTGACAGCTTTCTGTTTCAACAAGTTCTTCAAAAGCTGCTCTCTCAGCTTTTCCGACGCCTGGACAGACTTGCTTTTCTGCTGTTGTCTTGCAGCCTGGAAGAAATTTAAAATGAGTTCCTAAAGCCGTATAACTGAGAAATAGAATCTGAAGACATTTTTCAGTCCATGTTTTAAATGTGTTAAACTCAAAATCACAATTTTATTCTCTCTATGTTAGAAATGGACTGTCTCCAAATAATTATTTTAATTTGTCACAAGGTTTTTGTAGATACTTGAATTTCTATTTCCCTATTTCCTTATTAAACTTGTTGTCCTAAAATAATGTTTGATTCAAAAGAAATAAGTGTTTACTATGTTTCTATAGTGTATCCCTTTTTGGAAGAATCAGACTCACCCACACTTAAGGTGGGTGAATACATTAAAATTGTTCAATACCTATCTCTTTTTCTTTGTAATCAAAAATATGGTTTTCAGAGCAAATCTGACAAGAAGTAGCCTATATTTGAAATGGTTTTTTAGCTAAAGGGGGAGACCGTATGAGGGGGGTCAGTTTCTGACACAGCTTGTTGTAGTACAGTAGGTAACTAGTGCTCACAGTGAATAGATATGCTTGCCTAATTCACATCCTTCTTCAAACCCTAAATTTTAAGTAGTGATGGTTAAACCAGAAATCTTGAATCTCAAAACCGAAATTCTATACTTTTTTTACCCATCTGGTTAAGGTTGCAAAAAATACAGATAATAATAAAATGTGTCATGTACCATCAAAACTAAAAGAAATCTGAATCATGGCCCTGAAATAATAACATGAATATGTGACTTGGCCTAATTCACTTTAAGAAAAAAAAAAAAAAAATCAATTAAACAGCAAACAGTGATATGAATATGAGATCAATTCAAACTCTTATTTAGTGATCAAAATTTGTGGCCAAACGGTTAAAAAATGCCTGCAGTTTTGGTTTTGAGTTTGAATCTCAAAACTCGCTTTTCCAAAGTTTTGGTGGTTTAAAATTTGAGATTTGGTTTTGAGGCATCACTAATTATTTTAAAGCACCATTAAAGTGGATTAAAATAATGGCCTGATTTAAAGAAAGACATATGACATATTCCTAATTCACATTTTGCTCTCTTGTTGCTGTTATTAGATTTATTACTGATTTAAATAAAAACCAACATTAATTAATGTAAACACACACACAAATACTTTTGTACAGTAAATAGTCAAGTGGTAAAAAACTGTATTTATTTTATTCAGTTCCAGCATAGTTTTTACTCATAATAAATAAAGCTATTCATATTCCTTTACATTTACAATTTTCATTATTTGTTTTTATCATCAACTTTAGAATAGATCATTATTTCCATGTCTTGTACCATATCAACACTGTCTTTACCTTTTGTAGAGAAGACATGACTAAACATGTCTGACTAGCAGTTCTACCACTATTGTTGGCAAACCATTTCCTTCACACAGTTAAATACTGGCGTAAAAAGTATTTCCACACAGCTTGAGGATAAGGACTACCGTGAGAAGTAGTGTGAAACGTACCAATGGGTCCATGACCTGGAGGATTTTTTGTGCCACTGATCCACACGGGTGATTGGGAACGATTTGGCGGCACAATCCCACAGCTCGGGTGCGTTCGGGTGGAACAACCGGGTGCATTGCAAGTTACACACATCAACGCACCCGGAATCAACAATTCACTGTGGTACAGTACCTGAACCTGATAAATTGACAATGGGTAGTCTTGTCTTTTCGTTATATTGCAAGATTATAAAAATGCATTTTATTTTTACCAATGTCAAAATAGTATTCAAATTTCAATGATAGGTGGTTCAGGGGAAAATGGATGAACTACTTTTGAGGTGTTTTTAAAGCCTACAAAGAAACTGAGATTGATTCATCATGAACTAAATATAGTGAAATAGATGTCTCTTCCATATAATCCAACATTTACTAGTGTTGTATTTAAAGAAAATGTAGTTGAATGAGCAGAGGCTCTAGGAGAGCATAGGGTGTACTAAACTAAAACACAGCTTCTGTCTTGGTATTAGTAATTTTTCCATATAGGGAATATTAGCAAATTTCCCATTAGAGGAATAGGCTATTACCATTAGGTCTCATGGCAACACCTAGACCTTTTAGTTTTCATGTCTACTACAGCGTCAAAAACCACCATCTGTTTTAAATTCATATAGAGAAGATATACAGGGTGTCTCACGAGAGGTGTCTCAAATTGATTACGGAAAAACGGCTTAACGTAAAAGGATGAAATAAAATTATTTCCTGCTAAATCGACCCCAAGGAATAACGTAAAAATATTTTTAACTTTTTCCCACTACAGGGTGTGCCAAAAACTGAGGGTCACTAGTTCAAATCTCGGAAATTTCAAATATAAACATATGTCATGTTATACATCATTTTAAAGGTATTTGATAGACACACATTTTGGTGAAAACAGAAATAAGTTATCTTTTTCCATTTCAAAATGGCGGCAGTATTTTTTGGAAAAAATCTATATATTTTTAATTATCTGTGTTTCCTATTCCAATGCATTTATTCCTTCTCCGGTTGAATTTTCTTACTCGTTATGAAATTAGCTTTACTTTGATATGCTACAAGTAACGGTTTTTTTAAATTATAAAAATTCCAAAAACAAATTATTTTTGAAAATTTGCAAATGCTCATTTTTCAAAAATTTCAAATAGCAACATATGTCAAGTGGCACATCATTTTATAGGTTTTTTTTTAATTCCTAACAACTTTGTAATTTACACTTACTTCGTATCTCTTTTAGTTTTTAAGTAAATAACAAAAAACCTAATTTTCCTATATCAAATGCATGTTATTTGGGTTTAACACCAAAGGCCCAATTTGATGAAGTGTTAAACCACGTCAAACCCAAATTACATGCATTTGATATAGGAAAATTAGGTTTTTTGTTATTTACGCAAAAACTAAAATAGATACGAAGTAAGTGTAAATTACAAAGTTGTTAGGAATTAAAAAACCTATAAAATGATGTGCCACTTGACATATGTTGCTTTTTGAAATTTTTGAAAAATGAGCATTTCCAAATTTTCAAAAATAATTTTTTTTTGAATTTTTTTAATTTCAAAAAACCGTTACTTGTAGCATAAACAAAGTAAAGCTAATTTCATAACGAGTAAGAAAATTCAACCGGAGAAGGGATGAATGCATTGGTATAGGAAACACAGAGTATTAAAAAAATATAGATTTTTTCCAAAAAAACTGCCGCCATTTCGAAACGGAAAAAGAAAAGTAATTTCTGTTTTCGCCAAAATGTTTGTCTATCAAATACCTTTAAAATGATGTATAACATGACATATGTTTACATTTGAAAATTCCGAGATTCGAACTAGTGACCCTCAGTTTTTGGCACACCCTGTATTGGGAAAAAGTTAAAAATATTTTTACGTTATTCCTTGGGGTCGATTTAGCGGGAAATAATTTTATTTCATCCTTTTACGTAAAGCCGTTTTTCCGTAATCAATTTGAGACACCTCTCGTGAGACACCCTGTATACAGAGTATAATATGAAGAAATATAAATATAGGGTATGTAACTATATTGAACAACACTCTCATCTGCTGCTTAAACTGCCTTAACCTGAACTTTTACTTGGAAATGAGAAACAGTAACAAAAGCGATTAATACATTGTATTTAATAAAGTACTACCAAAAATATTTTAAACAACAACAAAAAACAATATACTGGTATATATTAACGACCAACAACTCTGGATTATTGGATTCTACAATCTCCATTCACAAATACCATACATGTATGAAATGAATGACATTTCATCGCCTTGGATGAATGATCAGTGGAATGCAGCTTGTAACCCGAACTGGGACAGACGGGTCTCGAGTCACCCGACACCCGGCCTTCATGGTCGCGGGTGAGCCAAAACATGCAAGACCAGGAATGCTGGGGAAACCCACACCCGGCATTGCACCGATTCCCAGTATACTCATGTGATTTTTGCTTGTGTCTTATTTGAGATTGGAAAACAACATGATATTATGATTAATTCAATTAATAGATTTTTATGTAAAATTTTCAGAGGGACATAGACAATCTGCCTTCCTTCATACAACTTTGAACAGTGTAACAGGATAAAACAATTAGCCTACTTTCGCTAAGGAAAACTGAAAATATACCATTGACCGTGTAATTGGATTGATTTTGTTACAGAATTTAATGAAGATTGGGTTTAATTTATCTTATTTTCTAAGTTGGCATGAATTTCGGTGAGATGAGAAAAGGGAAGAAGGCAGCTAATCCTACAAGCGGCGCCGAGAGACAAGACGGAGGAAATCTCGATTCCGTAGCTCCTTGACCGTTTCTCGGAAAAAGCAATAGGCAGACCGAAAGAGGCACGCTGATCGGAAAGGCAGGTGATTTCGTTGTGTGGCACTATATAAAAAAGTGACGCTAAGCAAGGGATATAAGCAAATTTACAAGTATTTCAAAATTCTAAGAACGGCAGCATGTAGCATGTCAATCTATCAGTTAAAATTCCTAATGTACGCAAACATTAAAAATTTTTCATTAATTATTTCATTTACTTATAGAATTCTCTTCTTGGCTTTATATATTTTTGTAATCACGATAAAATCTGTTAATAAAAAAATCTTTTGTTAATAGGTTAATTAGATCATTCTCACGAATAATTGTGATTAAATTTAAAAAGCTTAGTCCAGACTAAGTTTACTTGCTCCTGCTGGATCTCCAAAGTAATGCCCAGTTATAGTAGTTTTCTAGTTGTTTTAAATTCTCAACTTATACAAGATGGACTCCAAAAAATGAGATACACATTTTTATAGTTAAATATTCAGTATAAGGGATATAATTGCTCAACATAAAAATACAATATTCAAAAAAGTGAAACCAACAACTATAGATGACACTATCACTGCCCTTCTACATTTAGGTAGGGCTATTCTCAGACATATTTAAAGACCAGGCTTTGCAATGTGTGAAAATATCACTCAGACAGTGAACAAGCAGTTTACACAGAGCATGAGAATTAGGAAATAAATAATGCACAGAGTACAAAGCAGGAACGAAGATCAATATCACGCCTCTTCACAGGATTTGTCACACCTCCGGTGCAGCAAATAGAAAGCAGGGTACAAAACAGTTCTATTGCTACAGTAGTAGTCTGAATGCAATACTTATAACATATCATGATTATCGATTGTTTGTTTGTTGATGTTAAAATATAAGTTTGACTAAAGTATTTTTAATTTTTGTACTTAAAAAAAAAATACATGTCAAGAAATTTATGATATAAATGAATAGGGATTTGAAAATAGTGCTGATATAAATTATTTTTTTACCAAATTACATGGTCGATTTGGCTGCATTTAATTTGTTTATCTTACTAATTGTTTAAAGGTATTTTTGTTTAATCAATAATTTTGAGAAAGAACAGTCCCGGCATGTCGGAAAAACTTTACACTTTAATGTTAACTAAAATATAAAGCATATACCAGTATATATGTTCTATAGCTTTCCTAGTGATATATCCCATAGTAAATAAAAATTTTGAATACGAACGCAGTACTATAGTGTACCAACCACAATTATTGATAAAACTATACTAATCCAAGGACGATAACTGGGGAGGATTTTTTTTTTCAATTTAAGGACTTATAGCAAATTTCCCATAAGACATAAGACATGTTTATTTCCAGAAGACATATTACAAATGTATTGGAAGAGTCAAAAATTTTTCATGCAGAGCAGTTGTCAAATTGAGAAGTGTGTTACAAAGTGTACTTTGAAGTCTACGAAGAAAAAAAATTGCATTTTAAGTTATTTAATAGGTCTAAAACTAATATCACAGAGTTTATTGCTATCAAGAAGAAAAAACAACCATTGAAAGTTAGCAAAACATTACAAAATTAGACAGGTTGTACTACAAGGCATTAGGTGAAGGCATATATGGTTTAAGGAAATACAAGAAGTTTTCAGATAGCGGACTGGATGTCTCAAAAACTAGTAAGGTACTAAAAGGTGAAAAAGGAACAAGGTAGGCCTATAACAAAGATAAACGTATTACAGCCAAGTTGTGACTACGAATCTTTCAGATCTGCGGCTGTCATGACAAATAAGAATTCTTATACACACAAAGAGATACTGTGGGTGGTTTGCATACTTACAATGGTTTTCTTTTTGAGCTGTGGAACACCTCCATCGAAGACAAAGACAGGTTTGACATTGGTGAAGAGCAGTTTGCAGACTCGGCTGAAGAGTCCAAGCAGGTATGCGTTGGAGACACTCGCCCCAGCTGGTGTTTGGTAGCCCTTCATCAGCTGATGTAACCATATTGACACGTCTGGCTACTGGTTAAGGTATACACCATATGAAATATATTTATATTTTGTATTAGAGTTTGTTTAACTACACCAGGGGTCTCCAAACTATGGCTTGCAGGCCTGGCCTGCGAGAAGATTTTTTCCGGTCTGCTGAAATCTAGCATAGGCCAATGAAAAGAGCAAACACCGATGATCTTCTCCAGCAATTGCGTAAACACCTGTGTTTTGGTGGTCTTGGCGATACTGTTTAAAATACCTACTATGTATGGTCGCCATTTCATCGAACAGTATTAACAGTTGTCTACCGTGATTTCCTTGCAACGTTAAAAGAGAACCAATGGAACACCGTCGATGAATGGAGGCTTGGCCATAGAAAATTTATGGAACTCTCTGGCCAAAAAATATAGAGTATTGTATTTATTAAAAAAATTATATATTTATCTAAGGATGCCATCAGGCTCCAGTCATCATTTGATTTTTTTAAATAGGGATTGTTGAGGCATTGATGAACAATTATAACCAGCTACTGTAACATTTTTCTTCAAAATTTGACAATGTAATTTTAATTTTAGGCTTTACGTATAAAAATGCAATAACTGTGTAAAAAACAGGAAAATGTTTTTTTTTATCTACAACTTACCGTACCGGTATTTCAGTTTTTTCAATATTATATTTTTTTAAATTTTATTAAGAAGGTTACTGGTATTGTTAATGAAACTTAAAATTATGGAATGTTTTATTCAGTAACTGAAGAGGGAATGTATTAATTTAAAGGCAATACCTCAGAACAAAACAATTCAACTAGATAAAAATTTAAATCCCCTCAAATTTTCTTATCTTACCAAATCTTGACCCTTCCCGGAATATGGGCGGAAGAAATTTAGTTAAAATAAAATGTAAAAATTAAAATAAATATTTAAAAAGTATAAAAGAAAATTATTTCGGACAAAATTGTAAGTCAACTGTTTACAACGTTCTATAAACTATACATATAAAAAATATATTTTTTATTTAAATAAAATTATTTTGCTGTGTTTATAGCCTACAACCTATATAGACAGCCTATATAGGCAGTCTGGGAAAGTTAAAGTTATAAGTTTCTTAATAAAGTTATTGTTATATTTCTACATCAATCATCTAATTGCAGACCGGACTTTCCACACAATGTCGAAACCTCAAGCTACAGAACAGCAAGGAAACATGAAAACATTGGTCCAGTTATGTTGTTGAATGGAGAGCAATAATCACATGGTGATAGCATTATAAATGTGGGAACAGCTGTGGTGGGAACCATAGAGGAAGCTCAGGAAATGCTTGTGGTTGGCTCCCACAGTTACAACTCAAATTGCTCCCACAACCCATTGTGGTGCACCCTGTATAATTACTCAAGCTTGCCATCCAAACTCATTATGAATGCCAATTAGTAATAATTAACCTGATAAATATTTAAAATGCCTACATCCTCCAAGAAAGTCCCTCATGCGTGACATAGGGGAGAGTGTAAACAGAGGTTTTTAATTTTTAAATGTCCACAACCATGGGAAAACATTGGTGATTTAAATTTTAAATGGATTGGATGTTTGGTGGTACCTGTGGAGATGTCTTAATCAATATGTATTTACAGAAATGATTACATAGTTCTTATAATAGTAACTAAAAACTTCAATAAGATTTTACTAAATTGCGCTTTTTACTTTGCTATCTCCTATCTAATTGTAATAGTAAAACATTAACAAATTTTTATTTTTAAAAGAAAAATTAAAATTAGGCTACCTACCCTACTGAAGATAAAAAGGGGTTTTTGCTCATTATTTAAAAACTTCTAGCTCACTTCCTCCTCTGAATTTCAAAGTTTAAAAAAATTAAATACACTAGGCCTATAAAAAAATTCAGGATTTAAAAGTTAAGAATTTTGAGAGTGGAATAAGCAGAACTTTTAAATTGTAGTCCAAATTTATTTTGAAGGCCTTGGGGGAAAAAATAAGTTACTGTACTGTTTTTTTTAGGTTTAAACAAAATTTAAACAATTATAGTGGTTATGAAGTGTAACGATAGGCTACATAAAAAAATAGAAGATTCTGTTTAGGCCTCCAAACTTACCAGTTAAAAGGATGGGAGAGCAGAAATATGAGGCTCCTTTAGTGTATCAACACTCACTCTGTTAATTTTAGAGAAAAACCAACCACAATTGATTAAATTACTGTAGAACGATATAATAGCACTATTTAAACACTCAGTACCTCAAATATTAACATTTAGGGATTGAAAAAAAATCATGTAAGATAAAACGGGGTATTTAATTATTCAAAAGGGGGGTTAAAACAGGATTTTCTCGACAGGGGGGTTATTGTTTTTAACCGACTTCCCCACTACCAACAAAAGGAGGAGGTTCTCAATTTGTTTGTGGCGATGTTTTTTTTTTCTATGTATGTTCACCAATTTCTCTGTGATTCTTTTACCGATCAGTGTGGTTCCACCACCAAAATAACCAGGAGAGTTTCTAATTGGTACCTTATATATTATGTTTAAGTATAATATTTGTTTCGGTGAAAAATTCTGAAAACCTTAAATATTCAACATTTATTTTGTTTACATTTGTGCAGATTGTTTACATTTGTGCAGAGAAGGCAATAAATAATAATAACATTCCTACAGCTGTTAGTTGAAACCATTTAAATGAAGCTACAGACAATTCTTCATGAAACAGTTGCTTCATATTGATCAATAAACTATTTCTTGCCATGGAGCCTAAATGTGACACATTGAGAAAAATGCATTTTGTTTTGGTTACTATAAAAAAAGGCATTTTAACGTTTGACCTGATTTGTGTATACAGTAGGCCTAATTATGTTTTTAGTATTGAATATTCTGACTTACAAAAACATATATGTTTCAGTGAATAGCTGTATGATATTGACAAATAAAGGTGTATTGTGAAAACCAAAGCATTCGTAAAACAGTTCTAAATATAAATTAAATGCAATTATACGACCTAAGAAGTGTGACAGTACATAATCGTCAATTGTCTTAAAAGTGTTAAATATTTTAATTACTAAACATGCATTTGCAGATGTGGAATGTTTATAGATATTCTCTACCCAGTTACTATATCATATCAATACTATTATGCCTGCTTCGGAAAGTCCTAGAGGAAGATGATTTGCAATTTCGACTAGGCTATATCTTGAGCAATCAAAACCCCATACTCCTACATGACTTACACCACTTTTAGCTGAACCAATCTTTCATATAATATTTTCCAAAGGTACTATACGTGTTAACGACCCATTTTCCACTTTTGAGAGATTTTTTAGTGCTGGTAGCTGAGGAATAACTTTCATATTGTTCCAAAAGGCTTGAGACGTTACTGTATTTATTTTTATAATGTAGAAGTACACCGATTGCAGGAAACGATGATGTCTGATATTTCAATGTATCTAGAAAAGACAATTAGTTTTTCATTAGGCCTAATGTAATGGACAACTCTTTCTTTCCTAAGGAATATCTAAAAATGTTTATTTTCATACCCATTGATTATGTAACCTGAACAGGTGACTCAAGCAGTTTTAAAATAATGATTGTTCTGTGGAACTTTTGATTGTTTCAAACAGTTTTGCTTATCAAAAAACCTCAAGTAATTAATATATAAAAAATTATACAGTCACTAAAAATCATGAAATAATTTATTTTTGTAAAAAAATACAACCGACTTCAAACGCTCTAAAAAGAATGAAATAATTTCAATAAAGTAAACTTTTGTATTAGGCAAGCTCACGTATTTCAAGTCGGCGGGGCTCAAACTGCAAATATGATTGAAATTAAATATTGTGTGTGTATTTTGAAAATCAATAAATTGTAGCTGGATAACATAAATATATAAAAAACATACTGAGCTGTTTTGTTTATATATTAAAGAAAATATTTTCTTGTATTTTATGTTTACTTCAGAATAAATGAATTATGAAAATAACACACACAAATGTTCTATATGAATATGAAAATAATTTAGTTTGATATTATGATAGGGAAAAGAAGCTAGTTTAGTATTAAAACGTTACTTTTCCAAGTTAGAAACATTTAAATGCGTTATATTTTTAAAGATACTCGTTAATACCACTATAATGCCTATCTCTGATTACGGTAATAAAATAACACTTAACGCATAACTATGAAAAAGACATGCAGATTAACACATCTTTAGTTATAGATAGTCACCTGCAATATGGACACCCTCTTTCAATTTTGTATCAAAAATCATCATAGAGCCGCTCCGACTTAAAATACGTGAGCTTGTCTAATAAAAAAGTTTACTTTATTGAAATTATTTCATTCTTTTTAGAGGGTTTGAAGTCGGTTGTATTTTTTTACAAAAATAAATTATTGTCATGTGCATACAATGTGCACCGCATGGGTAGTATGGTTATCAGTTAATTGACTAAATACCATTCACTGTTTGACTCAGAAGAAAACAATCAAAGCGGTTGATAGAAAAAAGTAGGCCTAAAACGTTCAAAAGTACAGCTACAACCCATTGTATTTTATCAATGGACCGTTAAGTTATATTAGAAAAATCAAGTAAACTGCATTAAAATCAATAGGTCTAAAAGATTTAGGTTAGGCCTATCTTGAAAACATCGGGCCACTATTATAAATTAATTAATATAACTTAAAACAAGTAGGTAGGTTTAAATACAGTTTATGCAATTGAAGAATGATATCTACACAATTAAATGCATAAAACATTCATTCACCCAAGCACAGCTACAGAAGTTCTTTGATCAGAAAATGCATTGGATATTCCTGGACCTACTGTGTTGTCAATCGACTTAAGGCTATTGGAAAATAAATCAATAAGTTTAATAACACTTTTTACCGTATACAATATTTAAACTTAAACTGTTGACTCACAAGACTGTAAATACATAACTTAACTTATGATAGGCCTAAATAGATCGACTGGTAAGTGGTGATAGATTATGATTGGACACTACAATTAATCATCAGACCCAATAAGCAAATACCCTGTTGAGTACCTTATATCCCTCAGTGAAACCACGTCTTCTATTATAAGTTAGTAGCGTACCTAACTTATCACAGGTTGTTATTGATCAAACCATAGTGTAGTGGTTAGGATCTTATCCTAGGTTTTGACCCAATGCTAAACCACAATGACTACCTACATAATAGGGCTTCAGGGAAACGGGAACATCATGTACTATGCTGTTCTTTAAAAAATAAGGAAGTGCTTTATGTGTAGCCTAGGTTATCTACCTCTACGTTTGGGTCACATTCACTAAGTTAACAAGCATTAGTTGAGGACATGTCCACGTAATGTCTCTGGCGCAAATGACTTATCCTAATCTAATTTATTCTAACTTACTTGGCAAAACTTTGATGCGGGACTTATTTTTTGTATTTAAAATGTAAGTAGATATAGGCCTATTAAAACAATTTTTGAAATAAAACAGATTTTTATTTGATTTTATATTCGACTCCATCGCAAGCCTAAATTAACTTATCATTGATTGTTGAATCAATGGAAAAGTGGAAATGCCCACTCCCCAGAGCCATAAGTAACGGTTGTTGCAATCGATAAGTTAGGCGTAACGGCCTAAGTTTATAGAAAGTTTGGGTTTTGTATAGGCCTAGGCCCTAACTTAGTTCTTTAAAGTGTGGTTATCGATTGAATCGATAGTGAGCTCTTGTTGTTCAATAATCCAATGGAATTGGAGATCAAAGTTTTGCCAGCTAGCCCTACTTAAATAAATCATAATTTACTTCACTTAAAAGGATACCAACAGCCAAAACTTTATTTTCAAGCGATTCGACGGGAACTGGCTTTCCAGAGGGCTCTATTAGTTTCCATAGTCCATGAACACCCATTGCAATATTTTGGATAACTGATAAGTTCAAGTCCTATTTCAAAAGAAATCATAACCTCAAATATTGTTTTTGTTTACCTAACCTCTTATAACACTTCACTCACAGGCTGACACATTCACATTGTGGCATAAGCTACAGGTTAGAGTTTCATTAATTTGGTAAAAATGTAACTAAATTAATCCGGGCGCAAATCGATATTGTTAGGTTAAACCAAAATTAACTCATCACGAAACACACACGCAAATTCTCAGGACAACAATCTGACTCTGACATGACATAAGAAGATAGTGACAGTGACAGTCAAGTTAAAATGGTGCAACTACTTTAATTTTCTTCTCAAGGCCGGTTCGGTTCAACGTTTCACGTTTCAACTCAACAATACATTTACCCTTATTTCAGACATTTCAGTCAGTTTCCCCAACAGTTATTAGTTTTCACACAAAAATTATTCATCAAGAAGCAAGACCAACATTTTGGTTTCCAGTCATCAATTAATTACTAGATGGCCATTTTTTTTTAGTAAACAAGGAGAGTAATTTGATAAGCAATGTGAAGAACTGTACTGCATCAAATGAAGGGAACGGATGTTCTTTCTCTTTCTCACACGACTCCGTGGGAAAATAACATATGAATTGAATCATTCACTCACCCATCCTTCGCGATTTCGGGAAGGCAATGTTGGCAACTCTACTTCACTCACTACTGCCAGTAGGAACACACAGCTGTACGCATACTGTGGTAGAGGGGATTGGTGTTGTGATTTCATTGGCTAACTTATTGCCCCGCGCTTAATTCAAAGTTCTTAGATTATACACATTTCTCTAAATAAACTATTTGGTAAAGTTATTTTGACCAAAATAGGTAATAAAATATTGAGTTTTTATAAATCTATCGCTTGTACAGTGACAACACCGGAAAAATTGAGTTTGCTAGTCGTAGTATCCCCCTCTCAACAACTATGGTGAGGGGAAGGATCGATTAGTGCTTTGGATGTTGTGGTGTTGGCAGCAGTGTCGGAAAATTCTCTGGGTGAACAGGTGTTTCCAATGTTTTGATTCTGTCTGAGTGCATTTGGTGTTGAATGAAGTTACATTAAAACATTGCTACTGTGGATTTTATCTTATTCTAGGTATGTTTCAACCAAAGTGTTTATGTTTTCTTTAAAATTAATGCCAAGCTCTCCGATGAAGTCGTAGTGCTACTCACCGGTTGTGGTTAGGTTATGCCTGTCTAGAGATGCCACTTTATGTTAGTGACACTTTCAACTAGTTGTAAACTTTTTCACTTTTCTAAAGTTAATCCCTTAAACACCGTTGTACCTTAGTTAATTTATAAAACTCATTCTTCTGTACCTCAGTAATATACCTTAGTTTTACCATTGGAAGACCACACTTATCCATCTCTTGCATTAGGCATAGCCCTGTTTGGTACAAATTAGGCTATTAGGTCTGATACACCCTTTGCATATCCATTTGTTTTATATTGTTATCAGGTAGGCCTACAGACTACTTAATAGTGTGATTAATTGATGGTTAAATGTCAAATCACATCTGGGTCCAGTATAAGTTAAGTTAGGCTAACTTAGCCTGTAACTGTTTACAACCCTGGACCACCTCCCCAGTCCCAAGATTTAACTTACATTGATTGAGTGGGATTCTTGGTGTTGTTGATGGCTACTGGCATTGTAGGCCTATTACAACGTATCCTAGACCCATGTATTAAAATTCAGGAAATGTTTATGATTCCGTATTTCAAACTAAGTTAGGCTAGGTTCTACTTTATTCAATTGTGAAAGTGTATATCTTTAAAAAACATTAAGACAACAAGAAAAGAAGTTCTCATAGGCCTAAGTTAATGCATTTATACATAGCATAAGTTTGAGTACTAAGTGAAGGCTCATATAAAGCGGATTATAACCCTGCTCTGTCCTAAAGTTTAAACTCAGTGAAAGAGAGTTTACCTTAGCATAATATATTTTTCATATTAGGCCTACTGGTTGGTAAGCTACCTTCTTTTTGTAAAACATTTCATCACTTCTCTTTATTTAACTGCCATCATCATCATTACCTAAAGAATTTGTTAAATGATTTGAATATTTTGTTGTTATATGAATCAAAATCTGACCGGCAGAACTCAGGCAGTTCAAATTCCTTTCATTGATGACAACAACTGTTCAAAATCTGCATTTTCACCTCCCCTAGCAATCACTGCAGGGGTTCCCTAGGGCTCGGTGCTTGGTCCAGTCTTATTCATCCTTTTTATTAATGACCTGCCAAGTTGTGTGCCTGAATCTGTGGGTAGGGTATGTTTGTTTCCTGATGACACCTCATTGTCGTTGTCTGCAGCATGCGTGCGCGACCTCAGGATGAAAGCAATTGGTCGAATCAGCTCAATATTACGGTTTAGCTGCAATAACTTGTTTTTAAACAGTGCCAAAACTCAAATGATCAAATCTCATATCAGAAACAAAGAAAACACAGCACCCCTGGCAATTTTCATAGACAACAATCATTTTATTCCGTCCTGTTTAGAAACTAAGTTCCTGTGCGTTCACATCGACACCCAGTTGAAATTCACACACCTCTAAGATTATGTTTGTAATAAATTGAGTTCTAATATATTCTAATTAAGAAATTTGGCAACATTTTTGGACTCTAAAGTTCTAGTGATGGCTTACTACGGACTGGTTTTTCCTTTTCTTTCATATGCAGTTGCAGTTTGGGGACGTGAGTGTATAATTCTAAAAGAGTTTTTTTTTTACTAAGTTATATACAAAAGAAAGCCATCAGAACAGTTTTTAAGAAGTGTCGTACATTTTCCTGTAAAACACTTTTTGCTAACTACAAAATTCTTACTTTTCCCTCCATCTATATCTTAAACTGTTTTGTATTTGTTAAGAAAAATATCGACCTTTTTCAAAATCTGTCTCACCCTATCTCCTATGGTTTGAGAAGCCGGTCTGATTTAGACATTCCAAAACACAAACTTTTGTTTAAAGTTGAGCTACAACTTAGTTCTTCAATAAAGAATTTTCGCTTTTACTTAGCGTAATTTATGACATAAGTAGGCCTATGAAAACTAAATAGAAAAATTATGTGCTGGGTGAATTGTGTAGGCCTAATAATATTTTTGTGCATTAGAAATCATTTTTAGAAATCACAGTAGGCCTATTGCCATGCATGTCGCTCTCTATGAACTAGGCCTAATATAGATAGAATGTAAGTCGCTGGGTCATAGTAGCCCAGGTTTGTTACTAGGTGGCGTTCGCAGACGCGTCCACTAAATTGAGAGGAGTCGCTAGGGCACAATTTCAAATAGATAAAATATTGTGTAGAGATACATTTTAGAGTGATAAAATAGTTACAAAATGTTTCTCAGTGAAGAGGAACAATAGCCTATGTCAAAAACACAGACAATTTTATGTTTGTTTATTATCCATTTCTGTTCTAATATCCGTGATAAAAGTCACAATAATTAATTAAACTCAACAGCTGATCTTATGCCTTTGTTTTCGTCCCAAATACTGCTACGGTACCATAAGGATTACATTGAAACTTTGAAGATGAGGCAGATTCCTTGGAGAATTTTTTAACAACATGCGTTTTTAGCACTCACTGATATGGTCTTTAGCACCATGCAAAATTTGAAAACAATTGGTTTTGCCGTCTAGGAGGAGTTTGCGTATTAAGAATTGCATAAGAGTCGACGTATAAGAGCTTCGCTCACTCCGCTCAAAAATAATTATTGATGTGTATTAATTTGAAAAGGCGTTAATCACTAGCCATTTGAAAGGAGTCTAAACAAGTGGACCTTTTAAAAAGGCAGTTTACAATTCTAGGGACAATTCATACAGCATACATAGGCTACCAAGGGCCTAATGTTTATGAACAGAGTCTCACTTTAACAATTACGTAATATATTTATACAATAAATCTGAAACTGTCCACCTCCTGAAATTTAATTCATACAAAAGATATGAACACAAATATTGAAACATGTTTATTTCTTAACAGCTTCTCGAAGGGGCGTAAGGTACTGGTCAGGGCTTCAAGTACACGGGTCTTGAATTATCCTTTAGTTTTAAAAAGCATGTAAATTTTGGTGTTTTGTTTTACCAGTAAATTGTTAAAAACGCTTGGGAATTTTACTTTGATGTAATTGACAACGATGTTGGTATCAACCTCTGGTTTCTTCATACTAACCGTAATTAATGTTGCGTAATGTTTTTTTATTTTCGAATCCAATCCCTTCTAAGAATAGCGTTATTAGGTAGATTTACAATGTATCAGATCTTCTCTTATATTACCAGGATCTATTAATTTAAAAGATTATTTGATAGTTTCAATAGGCCCACTCTAAAATTTTGTAAATCTCAACCGCTCACTGTTTTCTAAGTAGTAAACCTACAGCTGAACTTCTGAGACATTTCTGTAAGAATGAAGCTGAACAATCAACTGTGCAGTAGGTCAACTATGTACAACTGTGGGAAAATGTGCAATAAATTGTTATTCAAAAAGGCCATAGATGGACAATTGTCGTAGAAATCGTGGGAGCGGAAGTGATTTAGATAACAGAACAGTTAATTATTCCATGGGAAACCTAAGATAATATGCTGTTTTATCTTGGCCTTGCCAATGGGCATTGTTTCTTGGGAATTTTTCCTCAGATCCTTTTTCCGCTGAAAGCTGAACACAGTCCAGTTTCTATTTTGGTTCATCTTTTTAAGAATAAATTTCTGTAAGTAGTTAAATTGTTTTTTACTCCTTTAAGGAATTAAGGTACTGTCCAAGCACGTGATAATGTGGACTCTAACGTTTTGGTAAATTATTCTCGGATCACTGCTTGTGGGCCTATTTCCCTTGTGGAGAGATGTTATGCTCTCTAATGATTAGGGTAATATGGAACGAACCTCTTACAGTTTTAATCTGTTGACAGTTGATATAACAAACTATAGATTGTTGTTAAATGTTATAATTAAAGTGTTTTTTTTTCAGTCACGTTTTTGTGAACAATGAGCACTCTGTTACTACTGACTTACCTGTAATAATGAAGATCAAGAAGAGACTTATCTCCTAAAATACTCTACAGGATGCCTCATCAGTACGGAATGGCAGTCAGCCTCTTGTCACCGGTTGAACGTTACTATCGCCCTGAAGACCAGCGACAGCGACTAACGAGAGATGCGATGGAAAAGTATCTGCGGGAGCGAAGTGACATGGTCATCGTCATCCTACACGCCAAAGTAGCACAAAAATCCTATGGAAATGAAAAGAGGTTTTTCTGTCCCCCGCCTTGTATCTACTTGTATGGGGAAGGCTGGCGGCTAAGACAAGAGAAGCTGCTACGGACCGGAGAGTCCGACCAAGCCGCTCAACTGTGTGCGTTTATCGGTATTGGCAATTCCGACCAAGACATGCAGCAGCTAGATTTAAACAACGGTAAACAGTATTGTGCCGCTAAAACTCTGTACATATCGGACTCAGATAAGCGAAAACATTTCATGCTCTCTGTAAAAATGTTCTACGGCAACGGCCACGACATAGGTGTCTTTCACAGTAAGCGCATCAAAGTGATTTCAAAACCGTCCAAGAAAAAGCAATCGTTGAAAAACGCCGATCTTTGCATAGCCAGTGGTACTAAAGTCGCTTTGTTTAATAGACTGCGATCTCAAACGGTGAGCACACGATATTTGCACGTGGAGAACGGAAATTTCCACGCAAGTTCCACTCAGTGGGGAGCGTTCACTATTCATTTGCTGGACGACGACGAGAGTGAAAGTGAAGAGTTTAGTGTTCGCGACGGTTACGTTCACTACGGCAGCACGGTTAAACTAGTGTGTAGTGTAACAGGTATGGCTCTCCCTAGGTTAATTATTCGGAAAGTAGACAAGCAGATGGCACTGTTAGAAGCTGACGACCCGGTCTCCCAGCTGCACAAGTGCGCCTTCTACATGAAGGATACAGAGAGAATGTACCTGTGTCTGTCACAAGAGAGGATCATCCAGTTCCAGGCGACTCCGTGCCCCAAGGAACCCAACAAGGAGATGATCAACGATGGCGCGTGTTGGACTATTATCAGTACTGATAAGGCGGAGTATCAGTTCTACGAGGGAATGGGCCCTGTGAGAGACCCTGTGACTCCTGTTCCTGTGGTTCACAGTCTGCACCTGAATGGAGGCGGAGACGTAGCTATGCTGGAGCTGTCTGGAGAGAACTTCACACCTAACCTGCAAGTGTGGTTTGGGGATGTCGAGGCCGAGACTATGTACAGGTTAGTTTAGTTTAAGAAAGGATGGATTTTGGTTGGTTGATAGAGATTAAAGAGAAAAGTAGTAGGCCTACTGTACATGTTATTTGAATCTTTAAAAACATTGTGCACGCTTGTGTTTATAAAGGTCCTAAAAACTCGTTAGTTAACATTTTATATAGACATAATGAAAGTCCCAGTTAGTTAGATTTCACTAAAATACCGATTTAAGTTTAATTAGCTTTGACGCCTAGGAGGCAACTACTGTGGTAAGCTTTACCATTTAAAATAAAACTACTGAGTGTGAGACCGATCGAATTGGACCAAACTTACTCAGAGTAACTTATTGCAAGTGTCTAATCCTATTTTAATTGGATATGTCCTACCTAAGAATATGTCAATGCCTATTTAGGACCTGTTTCTTGTCTTGTATTGGTTATTATCAGGGTATTATTAGTCTTAGCTAAAAACATCTGCAATACACACCTTAAGGAAATTACTATTTAAAAACATTCTGAGGTGTACAAGAAATAATGGCGTATGAAACAAGCAAATTTAATTTCAATACGTTTTACATATTATTAACAAGTTTGATATACAATCCACCAAACAAGTCAAATTTACCACTGACATTTTCTTCTTGTCCCAGGTGCCAAGAGAGCATGCTGTGTGTTGTTCCTGACATCTCATCGTTCCGAGGGGAGTGGCTGTGGGTCCGACAGCCAACTCAGGTCCCTGTCTCGCTAGTGAGGAACGACGGCATCATCTACGCGACGGGACTGACATTCACATATACCCCTGAGCCAGGTCCACGCTCGCACTGTCCCCCAGCAGACGACATCATGCGAGGAGCCACTAACCATAGTCACGCGGACAGACTGCCTGCCATCACAGACATGCCATGGAACCAGCCACAGGGGATTTAGTTAGTGGACTCATTTAAGGTTACAGTGTTTTCTACCTTACCCATCCTTCTGTTCCAGGTATATAGTATTATGTGGGTTTTTAAACCTTTCGAAAATTAAATTCATTTTTTATTCTGGCTCACTCAAATTCAACATGAAATAACTCATTGTTGACCCATCCACTAGCTGTTAAGCCAGGTTTTCCTATAAGCGGGTTTGGAACGCGCAGAGCGGAGGAGTGATTTTATAGGTCATCCGCTTTACTTCTAGGAAAAAAGAACCATTAAATTACCTTAGACAAGAGGAGAGCTTACTTCGCACTCTCTTTTTGCGCCTAGCTTTTACCCAGCTTTTACATGACCTGTCATACCCAAGGGTCTTATAATACCCAACGTGTTAAGTCAAAATTCCCTTTTTAACATGGCTTTTTATCTGAACGGTAAAAATCACTTAGGTATATTAAAACAAAATGAGCATAGGGTTCAGTTACATAAATCATTTACATCTGTTTGGATTTAGATCGAAAAGTAATTTTTGTTTGAAATTGAATTTGTTTTCATTGCTCTTGAGACAACAACGCTATCAAGGTTCGTATTTTAAACTGAATACGAGTGCTAGGCAAGTGTAGAATGGAGTAAGATAATCTGTGCAGTTTTTGTTACTGTCAGCTGTTATTTCAGCTGAGAACATTTTATTGAAATCCCAATGATCAAGAACAGCTGGGTCCACTTTGGAATTATCGATTAGCTACTAACTTTTCTCAGGATCGAACCTGCAAACTGTTGATTGTCAGACGAGCATTATAACCACTCAGCTAGTTGACTGTAACAATTAAAAATTTAAAGTGGGGGAAAAACATATTAAATTAGACGTATTTGGCTTTTGATGGTGTTATTAAATTTGGTTTCATCCTAAAAAACTAAACACTGTCCAAGCCAAAAAAATTTATATACACTCTGTTTATTGCTTTGTAATTAAAAGTGATTTATGGACAAAACTAAAACTTACATCATTTACGGATCACAAAGTGGTGTAGTTTTGTGTTCAGGGTCTCTAGATCCTTTTGTACATAAGTTCTCAGGTTGCTTAAATGAATAAATAGTAGGATGATGAAAAGATGAATACAGTACCGAGAGCCTACTGTAAACAAAATACAACTATCGTAAGTATTGTGATTTTACGCATTTTAATTATTTAGGATAATCAATTAACAATTTAGAAGCAATTTAATTGTTTCAAAAAACATTGTATGATAGATAGCTCATGTTATACACAGCACAAATTGGCAAAATAACGACCTAGTTGTAGGTGTTGATAGTATTTCTCTGTACATAATATCTTTACTTAGCAGACTGTAGACTTTAGAGATGATATTGTAAAAGATAATTAAATTTGTATATTTTTGTACATAACGTTTTCAATGTTTGTGGTGTTCTATTTATACTCATTATTTATACCTTGACTTACTTTGTTTATTGTTTTTATTCTTTACAAAAAGTATGCCTATATTTTGAAATTTTTTAATTGAAAGAATCTTATGGTTTTAACCGTGTGTTATGTTTGTGTAATTTGTGTTGCATTTACTATTTTGTATGTGATGTATGATTTGACTGTGAAAAGATATTGTTTTAATTAAATGTAAACTTTGCATATGTCACTTTAGTTTCATATTTAGAAAATAATTTGGGATATATTTATATGTGTATATTGATGATTTATTTTTGCAGTTATTGTCAGAAGATTTGGTATTAGACTATTTGATTTCTCATTTCCCACAAACAATTATGTTGATCAGCCTAAATGAAGTAGAATTAATATCAAAAATAGGTTTGTAATTTAAATAGTGTTATTTAATTTTTTAAACTTTAAAAGAGATAAACAGAAATCTGACACTTGATGTATTGTAAATATTCTCGTAAGTTTTATAAATATCAAATATGGATGCTTTTATTTGTATATAAATCAAGTGCTCATCAGTTTTTAATATAGTTTGCTCATGAAAAATTAAGTGTAAGACATTTATTTTAATAATTTTGTCATTGAAAACAAATGTTTTTCCCTACTAAAATGGCGGCGTACATGACCTTTCTATTGTAGGCCTATATCTTATACAAATCACCAAAGTTCTAGATAGTTTTTATTCTTTTGTAATAAACTATGTAGTCACAAAGAATTTACGAACACATTTCAAAGTCATATTTTCTATTGCTAATTAAACTAATATTATCGATTTATATTTCACTTATATTTTATCACCTACTTCTTGTTAAAAGCTCCTTCAATTAGTGAATAGTTTGTTCTTGTTTATACCTTGCTTACTGCCCTCTTCTCTCCCCCTCCATTCTTTTAACTATTCCAAGCTTCTAGAGTGGTTTTTTTCAAGTAAGAGCCGTTAGTGTATTGCTTCTTAGTTTGTGTGTATTGCTTCTTAGTTTGTGTACGCTGCAATAAGGCTCCTCGCCGCTTACAGGGATGATTTGTAAACAGAATTTTGCCATTTGCAGCTCTTTAGTTGACATGCACACTTTGCTGTGTGTCTTCATATTTTTATAAATTATTGAATCTCCTGCCGATTGCGTTAATATCAATGATATGTAATGTAGTTTGACTGTAAGAAACATATTGGCTGCAGACTTTTATTGCCAGATGATTGAAGTTTGTAGCACTAATGCAATTATAGCGAGTAAAACTAAAAAGAGTTAGGAATTTTTTAAATGGCTGTAAAAAATATCCATTTCTGAATAAATTGTGTTTTCAATGGATGCCCAAACTTCTCAAAGGTTTTCTTGGCCATTTTTTACACTCATTAACCCATTTCCACACTTTTGCATCAGGGCCATTACCTTCAGTCATCTAGTGATGAATGTCGGCATCGGATATGTTTTTTGCGGTCAAAACCGTATTAGTGGCCTCACATACGGTGGGAAATTCAATCATTTTAAAAATTTCTCATGCATAGGGTGTACACATCAGATTAAGCAGCGAGGAGCCTGGTTGCAGTGTACTGGCGAACTGAGAAGCTATACGCGCAAACCCTCAAAATTCCTTGGTTACATTTGTATCACGTACATGCTCAACTTGTATATTCAATATCAATATAACGACAAATAGTATGGAAATACTTGAGTGAATTGGAACTGAAGGTACAATGGATGCCTATAGGATGGCTGAAAAGATGTTTGTATGTGTGGTTGTTGAAAATTGCTGATTCTTTAGTCAACACCATCAATTTAAAATCCAAACAACTGCTGATTTCAGTTTTATTCTATGAGATTGTACAGATTTAACTACTTAATCAAGCAAAACTGAGTATTTATTTGCCCAAATATGAATTAAATATGAACAAGGGATTGATCATATATTGTTTTGTTACTAAAAATAGATGATCAATTATCTGTTCAGCGATGATCATTAATTTGAAGCTGGGTCCGGGACTAGTTACTAAACATATAAAATCTAGCCTAATTCTCAGGAATTAACCGGCCACTTAAGTCCATCTTGTTATTTTTAATTGGTACACAAGCCAAGCAATAAAACACCGGTCCCATTGCATCTACAAGCATCTGATTCATTAGCAAATGAATTTTCCCACGTATTTCAACAGTTGCGCAACTCTACTATTTCTAGTCTCATGGCTCATTCAAGGTGCAGCAATTTTCCTAAATGCATACATATTTCCTCCATTCCCGGATGTTTTTTCCAACTATTATTTAGCATTTTTAGTTAATGATGATGTAACGCTGTTTGTATTGCTGTAAATCCTGTGGGATTGGCTGCGTCATTATTCTGTAGAAATGCAGAAGAACGAGGTCCTTAACGCTCTTGTTGTTTTGTTGATGACTATAAATTAAATTAATATTAAGAAGGCAAGGTTTGAAAATTCTCTTTAGAACTGGAAGCGGGTTTTGTTGTTAACTTTCTCAAGATGAAAAACTGGAAGCTGCATAAAACTGGGTCTTCCCGTGGGTGGCTCAGAAGAAGTAGCTCCGAGGATCATGAGCGAATCCATTTTAAAGCTTAATAACTTAAGGTTTTTCCAAATTGGATGACAGCCTGAAGTGAGGGGTTTTAGTGGGAGTCAACCACACACCGGAAAACATTTGATATCTTCCCTCAAAGCATTAAAGAATTTTACCTCAAAAATAAAGGGGATAATTATTACAGGAAAGTTAGGTTTACTACATTATAGAGAGAGAGGGTGATTTTTACATTCATCTTTAAGTGACAGTTTGCATCTATTTGAGAAAATTAAAGAACTTTTTTTATACGAGTAGTCCACAGCAAAGCTTAAAGTTAGGGTAAAGTACAACCAATCTAAAAATGTACACTTTATTTTTTACAAAACAGATATTTCAACAAACAATACTAGTAAAACTAATAGCAGTAAAGCTTTCAATAAGTAAAACCTTACTAAAGGATCCCTTCATGATTCTTAAACTTGCGATCCGTTTAGTAATTTCCTCAGATGAGTATTTGAGGATTTCCTCTTAATACTATTGTAATCAGTCACTTCATGTATCCCATTTTTCTGAACTCTGTAACACAATTCAAAATTGAAACATTGAAAATGACTTCACTGAAGATAACTGTTAGCAAAACCGTAACCAAACTAAAGGCATAAATGGCAATAAAAAGTGAAAATTAAAAAAAAAATTAGAATAGTGGTAAGTACCCAGTTGTGTCACCTGTTTTGAGTTGCATTGTAATACTGTACGCTGTTTATTTACTGTATGGTTATACCCTCATGGGCGAAACGCAGGTTAAAGCTAGTTATAATCATAAAATTAAATCCACCTGGATTCAAACTCAACAGAAAAATAATTCAATGATAAAGAGGAATTATGAATTAAATCTGCAGCAAAATGTTACCACCACTATAGAAAGAAAAGTTGTGTCAATAGATTAAAACAATTTTCCTATTATTAAATAGATATTAGGAGGATTATAATTAATTCTACAGCATTTTGTAGCCCCAATAGCATTTTTATACATCAGATATTGTACTTCCATTAAAAACACCACAGGGGTGGATAAAAAAAAATTTCTACACACCTTCAATTTTGCTTGGAAGTTGGACTCTGTGGTTTAGAAACAACCCTAAACTGTAGGTCCGTCTAGTAAAAAAAGGAAGGTCAGCTTCCCTTAGAATAGGAGAACTAACTCTGTTCTGGAGATACCCCTCACTAAGATTGTACTGCAATCGATTAATTAGTCGCCTAAGGAGAAAGTTAGGGAGTAGTTAAGTACCTTATCATCATCTATTTTTTTTTAATGCATGTAAAACTAATTCTGTTTTAACATTTATAAATATTCTGTTCTTAAGATGTCAAATAATGTACTGGTATTTCCAAATAACGTACCAATAAATGGGGGGTGTCTAACTTAACAATATAGCACTTATGAAAATTATTGAAATGAGAACTGTACCTGCAAATAGTTCTTCTTTTTCTAAAACCATTTCGTACCACCTCTCTACTTCTTCTGGCTTCAGTTCTCCTCCCAAATCTACCGGGAGTTTTGGTTTGTCAATGTGTTGTTCGAGGGATGTAAGCTCGTTGTGCCAAATTATCTGAAATTTTAAGATAATAGACAACAAAGAAGTAGATCGTTACCACCGAAAGCAAATTTCTTTCATAGTTTGTGCTTGGTGATGAGTTGGACAAGTGTTCAATTTAGTAAAGGCTGCACCTCATTTGAACTTCATCAGAATACACTTTTAATGACATTGTAGCTTTTTGTTGTAATCAATGTATTTTACATTATTTATCAGTTCACAAGAAAAATTTGTGTATAAAAATTCTAAATGATTAAACAATTACAGTTACCTTTCTTTTGGTGTCCTCGTTCATAAAAGGTTTCAACGCAGATGCAAACACGTTGAATATGTAAGGGTAGTTAATTATATGTACAGCTTCAAACCTGAGTGGGATGCATTCCTGTAACAAGTATTTGAGTCAGAACTTAATTTGGAGAGTATGTTTTAGAAATAAAACTTGTATCTACAACCCTTTTTTAGTTGCCAGTATGGTGACAAATCCCAATTTGGTTTTTTAATTGTTATTAACTCGTTTTTCTGCTGGTCATTTGTGAATGGAATTTTTTGTGAATTTATTATTCAGGGCGACCCTCAAAGCCATACAGTAAAAACCTTGCCACACATTGTAAATTATAACTACAATACTGTACATGTTTTGCTTTCCTGGTTAACACTTAAACCTGAAACCATTGAATAGTCAATGCTGAAACCCATGTGGATGAGCAATTTAAGGCTATGAACAACCTCCTAAAATAAATAAAATCTGGAGTTTTCTGAAAATATTTTACAAAACCAACAAAAATTGCAAAAGATAATTTTTTTTTAGTGTGTGCAAAATAATGTGAAAGGGGTGTAGCTAATTTTATACCTAGTGACAGTCTACAATAAAAACGCCAACATTTTAAACTTAACTTGTAATAATTGTTGGTTAAAATTTGCATTCCTACAGTTATTAGATACCAACGATGAATCATAAATGTGTGGAAATAAGCCTTCAATGTTTGCAGGCACTAAAGAAAGAAAAGTAATACATTTTTTTATCACTTCAACAATCAGTAATACAGCAATTTTAAAATTTATTACTTTACAAGAACACAAATTTGATACAGTACACACTCTTTTAGGGTTTATTTATTTATATAACGTTTCTTTTTCTTCAATGGGTAAAAGAGTTTTGTTTCATATTCGAACAGAAGAACAGTAAACAATTTTAGGAAGGATTGGGTTGAAATAATCAATCTATTACCCTTAGCCAAACCTTTAAAAATGGGTTATGAAAATAAAATCATTTATTAAAACAAAACGTTTTCTTTCTCATGACAGAACCAACATTAAGTTGCAAGAATTACACCAAACTGATGCATTGTTTTGATCTTCTTACCTGGAAAAACCCCAACACTGTTCTGATTTTATGAGGAGTCGCCCACTTCATTATTTTTAAAGAAAAGTTAGAGCAGTCCATGATTAATACCACTCCGTTTTCTTGAACATCTTGTTCCAAAGAAAACGCTTCTAGGCACATCATCATCGATTGAATAATATTCGTCCAGTTCTCTTTGCCTGGATCTAAACATCCTGAAATATAAAATAATTAAATAAATCCCCTGACATTCTTCAGTACCTAAATCTGATTGGTTTATTAATTATTGCTTTGCTTGATTAAAGATAATTCCATGTCCGGTAATGATTTCTGTAATACTTTCTAAGGTAGCGAGCCTCACTTCTATTAAACTGATTTTGGTTGAGGGGAGAAAAGTAAGGTTATTAAAAAAAATAAATATAACAAATTTTGTCATTATTAAATTAATGATTGATTCATAATATAACTGCCACTCCTCGTCTGTTGTTCGATAAATTGAATGCACCTGCAATTAGTTTTATAATTTTTCCAATCCTAGTCCCGGGTACTTATAGCTCCATTACTGTACATAAGCTATGTACTGTAATACAAAAAATGGACAGTAACACTTAACCTATCTATATGACGAGCTTTTGGAACTTATGGAAAAACAACAATACACCGAGTAAGAGCAAACAAAATTCAACTGTTGGTCTAATTTTAGGAAAATATCTAAGAGACACAAATTATTTTTAATTAAATTATTGCGTTTTACTTATTTATGCGCACCACTTAGTAATTTTACTGATTATCATTCTATTTTGGATAGGTATTGAAGTATTGTAGATCCATATGGACCAACAAATTTTTTTATCAATGAAAGAACATAGTTTTGTGAGCCAGACACATATTGTGTTTAAAATTTTAAATAACTTCTTGATCTGCATTGTACGTGTTATTAAATTTACGGAAAGTAAATAAAGATACGTCTTATAACACTTAAAACATATATTTACGCTTATACTGTTGCTCACAAGACGGTAAGTATACAAAAGATTTTAAGTGGTACGCCATACCAGTTATACCACTTACCATCTTTTGTATATTTACCGTCTTGTGAGTAACAGTATAAGCGTAAATATATGTTTTAGGTGTTATAAGACGTATCTTTATTTACGTTCCGTTTCTTCAAAATTTTATATAATTTCAACCTTGTTTTTTTTTGTTACTTTATGGGTTTTGTGGAAAAATTGCAGGTGTGGTCTGTAGCTCTATACACATCCACATACAGACAGACAGGCACACTTAGACATAATATAAAAACAATTTCTTTTTTGTTCAGGGTTACCCAAAAAGGAATATCCATCAGGGATATAACACAAACTCAGAAATGTTGACAAAAACATTACTTTCTCCATACACTATGTATAGAGGGAAATAGTAAAGATGAGGGTCGATTTTAACAGTAAATCTTCCTTTGTTATGTGTTTTGTACAAAATTTGCTAAGAATCAAGCTTTTTTTATGGGGAAGACAGCTTCAGTAGTTTGTGAAACATGTCAGTGTGTTTTAAAGAACTATTTGTTATTCCAGTATTTCTCCACTGTGTTTACATATCACTGTATTAGTTTAACACCTTTGACCTGGTGTTATGCTTCAAAACATGAAGTTAAAAGGTTTCCTCATTATTTTTATCTGCTTACTCTTTAACCTATAACTTTCAGTGGACCAGGAACATTGTGTAAATGATTATCCCCATATCCTGCCTCTAATTGCTTCCGTCTTATCAGTAATAATGACTATTTTTAACAGAATTGAACTACAAATATCGGATGAATAAGCAATCTAAAATAATGACAGTCTAGCTGTCTAATGTAAAAAGGAATTCTTAAACATACTTGGCTTTTTCAGATTTAATTTAATTATTTAACAGAATCTCTTATGAGTTGAGATATTTATAATAAATTCATGATACTGTCAGGGCCAACATTTCCCCTAGGCACTAAATAAAAATATTGATAGTAAAACGGGGTACATAGCGGTCAAAAAATGCTAAACCCTAAACGTGGTCCTGAGTGTAATCAACTCTGGGTAAAGTTTTTTTGCAGAAAAGTACAAATTTGCAGTACAGTGTTTGTTCAATATAAATGTATCCAAATAAATGTTCTGTGTAATATAAGTTACAGGGTTACAGTGACAGCAATGACTACTAAAACCTATTAGACGTGACATGGGGTAGGAAAATAGTCTACGCTCTTTGAGCGCCCCAAATATTCGGTTCGCAAGTAGTTTGGCGACCGTCTGCAAGAAAGCGTGTTGTTCGTGGAGCTTGACTTTCCAGTTTTTAGCTTTTTCTCAGTAAATTTTACTGAAAACATCACATTTTATTCAAAAAGAATGGGAGTGTCTATAATCAGGGGAGTGTATATTATAATCATTCAAATAAAAAACCTCTAAAAAATCAACCAATAATATAAATACGTATAACATTATGAATTAAATTGGTTTATAACTTGTAATCTTTTTTCTGTGTTAAAACTTATTTGTGGGCCTAAACAAAACAAACATAGTTCAAATATAAATTACAACAAATGTTTGAAATTTCCATAGAACATTGTTTGGAAAATTCTGTAACATTGCATCTATTCCCTTCAAACAATTTTCATCTAGGTAGTGTTCTAAAAATAGTTGTCAATAAATGCTTCAATTTTAATTTGTTACAGTTTCATGCATTGTGCAATGGTTATATAAACATTTCAAATCCTGTAGAAAATGTCAGAATTCTTGTTCAAAATTAGAACTGCTATTATCTAATAACTTATAGTGGTGCAGTAACTTAATGGTAGAATGAGTCCTTATAATTATCCAAGCCATAAACACAATTAGATTAACAGTTACCAAATATTGACAACAACATTAAAGTCCTCACAGTTATATTTCCTGCTGGAGAAATAGCTTTGAGTTATTTGTCAGTTCAGGTGTTAAGCTTTCACCTCAGTTTTCAGCATTACTTCCTGGTCCTTATTTTGAGGTGTTTAAACTATGATTAATGTACTCATACTCTTTAATTTTTTAACCGGTGAAAACATTTTTTATGTTAAGATTATTTTGTAACTGAGTGATTATATTTCTCCCTTCAAACCAGAAGGTCGCTGGTTTGATTCAAAGCAGGATTGTTTCTGGATTCAGATACTATTTGTCATTTGGATATCAATTAATGATGTTATATATAACAAAAGGTCATTGCTAGATAGTAACAAGACTAGGATGATACTACAGCAATGATGACCATGTACACCTACGTTGTAGATAAATTCAATAGTAATAACCCATAACACTTTTATCCCCAAGTTTTGCAAAGAATATAATATGTCAAAAACTGGCGATGTTTTCCAACTTACCAAATTTAATATTCAAGACCCTTCTGCCACATTTGTCCCTGTCTTTAAGAGGAAGGCCGAGGTCTTTTCTTGTCAACGTTTTTAGATTTGCTGCTGGGCTTTGAACAATGAAGGCCTCCGGGTTGTCTATCTTCGCTTTGAAGTATTTTTTGACCTGCAATCACAGCATGTTCAAGTTTATGTTATGGCTCTCAGCACATCATACACTTGAAAAGTTAAGAAGATCAAAGATCAAAATTTAAACACTTTTTGTTTATCCGTACTCTCAAAACACCTTCAACAGTAAGTGCTGTATTTTCTCCTAATTATCAACTATGAAAATGTGTTTGCCTTTAGATGCAACTTTTGAATTTCATGCTAATCTTCATGCAATGCTGTTCAATGGGTGAATACATATTTATTTTAATTATAGTCTGTATGATGAAACCTGTTTGCTCTAACTGGTGCTAGCCCAGGCCACACCATTGGCCAGTCCCCAGCTGTAGACCAAGGGGCAATAGTTCCATCATACACTATAGTAGGTACTCTAAAATTCTGTGCATTTAAATTTTTTTCTTTTCTTACTAAAGTTTAAGATTGTGACTTTTAACTCATGTACATAATACAATTCTAATGTTTTAGTTTTAATCAAGAGTTAAAGCAACACACTGGATCCTAAATTTGTTGGTGATAAATATTTTGCAGGATTTTTGTATCAAAACCATTTTTCTAGTTTGGTTTAAACCTCTACATCATTCTGCATTTTAAAAACTAGATTCACATCATTTACTGGCCAAATATAAGTGGTTCTTACCAGATGAAAGGAAGCATCAATGTTATAGAGACTAGCACGGATAAAACGAAGAAGAAACTCATCACTGGTCGAACATTTGAGATTGGACAAGGTTTGCTCTTCTGTAAATCAAATCATCTTTATTCATTTTAGTACTCGAGTACACAGAACGGAGTCACATCTTAACAGTAATGTCAATAAAAACAACCAACAACTCGGATAATATGTCTATGAGGAAACCAACTCAATAAATAACACTACTAAAAAAAATGCCTAAAGCTCTGCTTCACTGGCTTAAGTGAAAGACATTAATCGCTCACAAAACTCACAATTGGATGAGATTTACATCTAATTCCCAAATTATATCAGGGCCAAGGAAGAGTTAATTAATTAGCTAGAATAAGTAATTTTTATAATAATTATATTATAGCATAAGCAAAATATTTAATAAAATATTGGCATCAGACTATATGTACTTAACAAGGATTCTTAAACTTTTCAGCCATTAATTACCATTGAGCTACTGTAAAACCACTGCATAACGGTACTTTATACTTTATACTTTCTTATGAAATGGCGACCATACAATGTAGGTATTTTAAGCCAAGTATGAATGGAGATGAGTGTAGGATGAGTGGCACAATCTTGTAGTCTTGTTAGTGACTAAGACCGACATTCCTTAGACACAGCTGTTAATTAATAGCCCAAACAGCTAATGGCAATGTGTATCACACGGTACCAAAACAACCCCCAAAATACTTTTAACTTACATCTACTATACAAAATACAAATACCCCCGCCGCAGCAAACCTGCAGACTAAGCGGATTTCCATTTGCCTAAATTGATATACAGTTATTTAAATAACATTAGGTTAAACGAGTAGGCCTACCTAAGTTTGCTGCTACAGGGAGGCTATTAAAGTGTGTTTTTTAGTAAAATATTAATAGCTTAGTATAAATTTAAAAAATTGCCAAGTTTGATCAAAATATATCCTTAAATAAGCAAACTACAACATTTTACAATCTTATCCATAAGAATAACATGGGAATTTTAAATTTGCCATTTTTTAAATTTTCTCCTTAATCAATAATTGCACAATAATACTTCAATGTACTTAATTATTTGTCTTTTTAAGCTCTTTAAAATGTTCTTGAGAGAAATTTTGTGTTTTGATGGTAAAAAATTAGAAAACCCAATTTTTACCCCATAAAAACCCCGTTCCCATCGTCCGATCATGCTGGTTCACGAACTCAGTCAAGTTTATTCCGCCTTACACCTTTAAACCAAATTTTATCAAAATCGAACAAAAATTACTCAAGTTATCACGTTCATGAACACACACATATATATTTTACATATACATATATACAAATTTGAATGAATAGGCCTAGTGTTTTGGCCTTTGGGGACATCAAAATGAATTAAAAAGTAAATCTGTCCTGGGCTCAAGTCTTACATGAGACCTACGGTAATAGCTACTTCATAGGGAAATTCTCTAAAATGCACACAACAAACAACAAAGCTTACCTTCCACCAGCCTCCTCACTGCCTTCACAATCTCCTGAAGTTCGTCGCCGGAAGGCGGGGATCTCATGATGTCCTAGCAGATTCTCTGTCACTCTCGTACTGAGAGCTAATTGTTACCCTCCCTTCCTTCCAGTCTGGTGTACAAACAACATCGGTGATTAGTGATTACCAGGGGTCAGCTGGTGATTAGAGACGGCCCTGAGGTCACAAGTGACGGGAATTTAAACTACAATTAGGTTATGTTTGTTTTGTTAATCAGCTGATTTGTAATTTCCACTGCTACCTGAATACTTTGACATCTTTGCCGTCGCATGTTCAGAAGGTTGGGGCTTTGATGGTTATGTGGACACAATGATTCTCTGGTTCGTTTGTTCGTGAAATTGTAACTGGAACTAGTGGAACTGTTAAGGCGATGGCTACAGGCATTGACTACACTTGTTTTTGTATTTTCTGTGTTATTACTTTAGTCAAGCGTAGCTATCCATAATTAGTAGGCCTATCGTACGGTAATCAAAAATAAGCTGTAATTCCAGTTAATTTACGCAAAACACATTTTAATTAAGTAAGCTATATAAGACTATACAACGTGCAAGTCATCAAAATATTTAAGATTCATGATCAATTATTAAATTATTTATGATAATCTGGTCCATTCTTTCGTACCCTAATAATATATTGTTTTCTTTATCAGGATGTTAACATTGTTAAGAGCAATTTTCTTACATAGTGTAATTTTTCTGGATGATCGTTGATCGGATTTGAAAATCTCCCCATTTTGGGGATCAGCAATATAAGTCAAGTGCTGATATCTATAGCTGTGTCATTGTCGCGATTAGCAATCATAACCTCAAAATACAACTACAATATGTAGCCTACTCATGATTCTTTATTGAATAACTTTTGGCTAATAACTTCTCATATTTATTGCTTTTATGTACAGGGTGTCTCAAATTGAGAACAAGAATCCAGGAATAGGTGTATTGGGTCAAAAATAAGATGAAAATCAAGAATAAAAAATTATTCCAAAAAAATCCTCCTTAGTGAGATGTCCGCCATTTTGTTTTTTGTTTTTAAATTTATATCCCAAGAACTATTTAAGACATCTTTATGAAAATTGGTATGAATTTCTATCATACAATTTTTACGGAAAAATAATCATTACAAAATATTTTTTTCTTTCAAAATGGCGGCCATTTCCCCCTTTTAGTTTTTATATTACAAAAAAAGGCTGATTTTATAAAAAACATACTGAGGACATTTTTATTTAGCATTTAAAATTCCCGATCTTAACAACACCTGATAACCATGTTCAAAAACATCTAATAACAAATATAACTGAGAAATCACAATTTTTGTCGCAAAATGAGGCGAACCCTGACTGCAAGGCCTTTTTTGGCCCGGACCTTAAAAATAAAAATCGTTATTTCTCAGCTATTTATTATTTAATTTCTTTTAACTTGGTGTCATTTGAAAGGGAATTTTACATAGACCATCAGTAATTAATTTGATCAGCTGTGTTAGAGAATTTCCCATATAGGGAATAAGCTATTGCCGTAGTACTCATGGTAAGACAGGACCCGGGACCGATTTAATTTTCCGTTTTGAGGTCCCTAGAGGCCAAAAACACCATCCGCTCATTTATATATATATATATATATATGTCTGTTAGGGCGATAACTCAAGCAAAAATGATTCTTACTTCAATTACAAAAAAAGACTGATTTTATGAACAAATAAATTTGAATGGATGGCGTTTTTGGCCTCTGAGGAGATCAAAACAAAAACGTAAATCGGTCCCGGGTATAGGTCTTACCATGGGATTTGGTAATAGCTTATTCCCTAAATTGGAAATTCGTTAAATATTCCCTACTTGGGAAATTCGCTAAAACCTGAAATAATTTAATAGTTTGCAAGAATGTGGTTCCATTTTCTACAAAGCCGAATAGAGCTATCTAAGCCAAGTCAACCCTAACTTTTACTTCTGTAGATGAGACAACCTAACCCACATGGTAAGCATTGGTGTAGTCAAAAGTTTTCCAGTGCAAGAACTATTGTATCAGAAAAATACGGGTCACTTAATAATAGATTTCCTGCACGGCCAATATAGTTTCTTAGGAAAAATCTGACGTATTCCTGCCCCACTATACACCACTGCTGGGAAAGAACAGAGTTGTTTACAAAACCGTTCACTGTCAGGGTTTTTTGCCACCCCACAGTTGCATCACTGAGCCCTGTTTTTTACTCAGGGCCGTACCCAGCTTTTGCAGGCCCCGGTAAAGATATTAGGCCGGGCCGCGCCCCTTTCCTATAAGTATATGTTTGGCGGGGCTCAGTCCGGGCCCCGGTAAAATTGTCCCAGGTATTATACCATCGGGGTATGATACTGGTTTAATAAAGTCCAGAGTCCTCTACTTGGGGGTAGTTGCGAGCCAGGTATTGTCAGAGTAGAGGAGTGTATTTTTAATCAAAGATTCAATATAACCCTATCAAGAGAGCAAACTTAAAATAAAAATAAAATTAAGGAAGATTTCTTCAAATAATTAAAAAGCCAAATTTGTTTACATTTATTTCTATGATACAAAATTCACTTCACTTAGCAAATAACATTATATAAAACTTATCTAGTGTCTTTTAAAATATATAATCAAATATATACAGTAAAATCATATTTGGTAATAATTATTTGGCACAGATGGTTTGTCGTTCTCAGCTTGAATGCTTCTTATGGCACCATCTTTCTTCTGGTCATTCACTGGGCTTCTCAGTATAGCCATAAGAAAGAAGCTCTGCAACAGTTAGATAATTATTTTATCAAGGATGTCTTAACTTTCTGGAGATAGACGACCAAAATAATAATAAGTATTATTATTATTTCTAGTAGAGATGGGGACGCCACCTAGGTACCAAACATGAGTGAAGGATGAGTGTAGAATGAAGTGAGATGATCTGTGTAGCTTTGTTACTGACTAAGATCAGCTGTTTCATTAGCCAGGATCATTAAAAGCCCAATGATCAGGAACAGCTGGGTCCAGTTTTGAACCATCAAAAAGCTACCAACTTTTCTCAGGATCTAACCAGTGACTTTTTAATAATTTCTAGGGGAGCACTAAAACCACTGAGCTACAATAGAAGTATAAACAAATGACCAAAACAAACCCCCATAAAACCTTCACACTAACACATGAATGCCACAATAAGGGGGGGGGGGAAGAAATAAAAAAAATGTTGTATGATGTAGACATATTTTTTGAAATAAACATGAATTATTACTCTCATTTTGTGTGCAACGTCTTGAAAAAATTTATTTAACATGTTTAGCCTCTGTAGCACGTATTTTACTAATAAAAGGAATACCTGTAGTACTGTCTTGTGATCCTGATTTAGGTCAGGATCACAGACAGTACTACAAATATTTAACCTTTTATTATTTTTTAAGCACTGAATTTTCTGATGGGTGCCCCTAACCCCCGGGGAGGGCTAGTCGCTCACCTATAAGGCAATACGAACTAGAACTTTAATATTCTTATATGTGCTCAAAAAAACAAAATAAAAGTAAAACTCAAAGGTTCTCTGGCTATCAAGTGACACCAATCAAGGATTTCCAATTCTGTTCAACATTACGCAACAATCAACTTATATTTCATTGGTCAACTCAGATTTATACTGATTACTTAATAAATTACAAGTCTGCTTCCAAAACTGACCGTTGAGTCTGTCCGTGCTTGGGTCGAGGTAATCCTTGACCAGCTGGGCTGGGACCAGAGGAGGTTTAGTTCCTCCATACTCAGGAGGAAGTATACTGGGAGTGATGTGTGTGTGCAGACTCTCATTGGTCTTGTGGAAAAATACCTGACAACAACGTCAACTTAGGTTAGTCGTAAATCTATGTATTGGAGTGATTTTGCTTTTTACGAGAGCTCGCCCCGTATTCGAAAACTCAACCAAAACTATGTATTGTACCAAACTTCTCTATTTTCACCCCACGCTGTAAATAAAACATGTGATTGGAATTTCTTCCATTCGTCTTGATTTTCTGTTTATGTTTTGTTGTTATTTCGTCACCAACATGGTAACCCATAAGGCCCATGTTTATTTTTTTTTAATTTAAATTCATTTTTTGTGCTTATTTTATCTTTTGTTTGGTATCAACTGTGAGTAATTCGGTCCAGTAGTATAGCCAGGCTAGCTGTCATAATTTTTGCAAAAGTTTTTTAGTATATAAGATTGTTTATAAATTACTTGTTTCACATTTTCCAAAAAGTTTTAATAGTTAATAAGTTTTCCAACATAATCTTTTGTAGTTTTTCCCAAAGAATTGTTTCAGGAAAAGGTTATAAAATGTTGGGGGAACTGATTGATTTACCTATTGAAATTGCATCACATATGTTAGATACTAGATAGTTAGATGGTCTATTCAAAATTTGCAATAAGGTCAGCCATATATTTAATAAAAGTATGCATGATGAGCAGCATCTAACGAGAAAGAATCTATGTAAAATTTGATCAATGCTTTTACACTTTTTAATAACCTTATTTCAGCTTTCTGACTCATAATAATAGGAAGGTAGCTTTTATCTTGAGATAGAAACAAGTTTTGTATATGTATATGTACAACTTGAATACATCAGGAGGTTCTGTGAACAAAAATGGATTTGATGGAAACAGTAAACAGATCGTAAGAAATCTCAAGCCAAAATAGACAGCTAACATTCCTGTCTCATTCAATCCAAAGTTTATATTTCACATGAGGTTGGTTGACTATTTGTTTGTAAAAAAGAAAGGAAGAGAGAGCTAACATTTCTAAATACTGTGAAGAAATACTTTTTTCCTACAGTCACCCAACAAAGTTGGCTTCCTTGTACTGTTTATAGTACAGAAAGCTGCTAATTGCTGCATATTTATACTTTGCCGTATGGTTTATACTTTGCCGCACATCAGGATTCCAACAAAACAACACAAAACAGCGTGGTTCTATTATGCACGTAATCCGTGTACGCTTGGAAATAGGTTGGCAACACTTAAAGATAATAATACTATGAGCAGCTGATTGACTATTATAACTACGATTTAACCTGTCATTTCGTGTTTATAGTTTAGGTATTTCTGAACTTTCTGGACTTTTCATTTAAACGTTTTTAAACCATTC